AGCATTAAAATGAATTTCAGGGCCTCCCTGGTGGCGCAAGGGGTTAAGATGCAACCTATGAAGCCATTGGCAGCCACTGCAGAACAAGTTCAATCCCCAGCCAGGGAGCTACCCACATGGCGCAGCAGACCTCTCCTGACTTGCCTGCTGCTCCCCTAAGCAGTGTATTTCAGTCAATCTGCCTGTTCTGTTCTCCACTCTCTCTGGTGAATTCTCTCACCACCACCACTGCCCCTCCCCCCGCCTCTGGCCTGTACCCCAGTTCTTGTACGCATAAATAAATCTTAAAAAAAAATAAAATAAATTTCACCTTTTTTTGGTTGATTGTATTACTTTTACTGTCATTTTATATTCTTCACAAAGTAAAAAAAAAGGAAGAGAAATATGTCCTTATTATTCACAATAATAATGCTTCCCTCTATAGATCTGAGTGTAGGGAACCACAGGGAGCACATCACGGCTTAAGTGGATCATGTACTATTTTAATTCTGACCAAGCAAGCAGATATCATCCATGTCTGGTAACTGGACTAACTCCATGGGAGCTGTGATGGAGTGAGTCCTTTCTGTGGGGTCTCAGATCTCACTAAGAGAAGACCCCTCACAGGAAAAGAGGACAACCAATCTGTCTATATAGTATACCTATAGGCTCTTTCTTTAGATAAGGTGGAAAGGGGGTCCTTTTTTGAGTACATGGATGTAAGTACTGTTGTGCTCTGAAGATTGTTGGATTGACACTAGGTCTCTTTGAATGCAGATAAGGTAGACATCAAAACCACTGTCAGATTAAGAAACTTCCACAACTTGTTTCAATGCTCCAAATAATGAAGCAAGTTCCTTTTCTAGGCTGACAATTAGTCCTGTATTGGTATTGATGTTGGCTATGAAACACCACCACAGGTAAATGACTAAACTGAACTACCTGGTAGGTGTTATAGTAACAGATAATACTTTTTATTTTTTTGTAAGTCTCAGTTTGGTCCCCTGGTGTGTGGCCAGGGTAAAGGTGGATAAGAAACCGAGTCTCAAAGCATGTTCTGGGGCACTGTCACTGGCTACTTTAACAACAGGCACTCCATCTCCATTGGACACAATAGCATGGAGCCCTTCAACACTTGGTAACTTTTTATACAGAAATCACTTGAGATCATCCACCATGATGCCCCCGCCCACAATCTGTGCAAAACTTCGCAACCTGGTTCCCGGGAGGCCTAATTTTTGCCTTTTAAAAATTACACATGTGGGTCGTATTAGGTATTATATCTATTGAACAGCACTGATCTATATCTAACTACCCACTTACAGGAACTACAGGGGATAGCAAAAAAATCCTTTTCTTCTTTGTTCTGAGGAACATTTTAAAAATCACAGGATACAAGCAATAAAGTACAGAATGTAAAAAAAAAAAAATCTTCGGGGAGAAATGACTATAGTTTCAACAATAAAAAAATTGCAAATAAAAATAAAAATAGAAGGAGGGGGGAATCATAGTGATTAAATGAGACTTAAAAGAGGTACCAACAAATCACTGTATCAGTCTCATATATCTATCATCTCATTTGACTCCCAATCCAAGGAAGCAAACTGTGAGCTTGTGTGTATATATGACAACCAGAGAAATGTGAATACTAATCATATTACTAGAGGAATTATTACAAAATACATAATATCAATGTTAACGAATTATTGCTTTTTGATATGAAAATGGATCTAGATGTTTTTTAAGAATGGATCTAAATGTTTTTTAAGAATTATCTCTTTTAGTAATACATCTAAAATATTTACAAATGAAATGATATGATGCCAAGGATTTATTTTCAAAAATAACCTGGGGGTGGGGAAGGAAGGTGGAATATGTGGGAATGTACAAGAAACAAGGTTAGCCACAAGTTAATAAATACTAAAAAAAAAAAAAAAAAACAGTGAAAGCTATGAAAGATAGCATTGTACTGTTTTACTTTTGCATGTGAAATTTTCCATAAGGATCTAAGGGGCCTCCCTGGTGGTGCAAGGGGTTAAGACACAACCTATGCAACCTATGAAGCTGTCCACAGCCTCTGCAGCATGAGTTCGATCCCCTGGCTGGCCAGGGAGCAACTCACATGGCGCAGCAGACCTTTCCTGTCTCGCCCACTGCTCCCCTCAGCAGTGTACTTCGGTCAATCTGCCTGTTCTGTTCCCCACTCTGTCTCTGGTGAATCCTCTCACCACCGCCCCCCCACCCCCCGCCTGGCCTGTACCCCAGCTCTTGTATGCATAAATAAATCTTGAAAAAAAAAAGTATCTAAGAACAACAAAAATCAACCCGTACTAGCTTCCTCTAGCCAAGGTTGAGACAATTTAAATATCAAAAAAAAAAAAATAGATTGAAACACATTCAGACACTTAAGTTTTTAATAAATACAAATAAATTAAAAACCGCATCACCTTTATTTTTTTTATTAACTGGTCAATGTCGTTGTTCACATGTCTATATAACTTTGGGGTTAAAAATTTACTCCTCTCGGTCCTCTCTGATGGCGCAACAGGTTAAGCGCCACACTATGAAGCAATTGCAGTCTCTGCTGCATGAGTTTGATCCCTGGCCAGCCAGGGAGAAACCCACATGGCGCAGCAGACCTCTCCTGTCTCGCCCACTGCTCCCCTCAAAGTATTTCAGTCAGTCTGCCTGTTCTGTTCCCCACTCTGTCTCTGGTGAATCCTCTCACCCCCCTGCATCTCTGGCCTGTACCACAGCTCCTGTATGTATAAATAAATAAATCTTTAAAAAAAATTACTCCTCTCTGTATACAAATGCTTCATTCTCCTTCCACCAAACCTTCTGTGCCAGTACCCTAGCCCTTTCCTTCTCTATCCCTACTTCCCCTTTCCCCAACCTTCCCTCTGGTAACCAAAATACTTTTGGTTGACCAACTCATTTTGAAAACTAGTAAGTAAAGGAAAGAATTAAATATATATCCTACCTTTTCTGTACTAACTGTATTTTAAGGGAACAAAATAGTCGATGTGAAAAAGTTCTTAGAATTCCAATTAATAAGTAGAGGAGAAATGAAAGAATTAGAAAATTACCACTTTGCAACCCTTCATGGATTTAGGCAATGATTATTAATAGCTGCCAGAACCAAAGCATAAAAGGTTGACAGGGAACTTTACAAAAATTGATGGGTTTTAACAAAACCCGAACCTAGCGATGATTTTTTTCCTTTTTAAACTTTGTATTATGTAAATTTTCAAACATATACAAAACTGCAGAGAATAACAGAACAAACCCCATGTGCCTATTACTCAGTTCCAATAAATATCAACTCATGGCCAATACTATGCTATCCCAGTTCCTTTCTATATTCAATTACTTTTAAGCAAATTACAAACATTATTTCATCCATAAATATTTCAGTATGTACCTCTGAAATGGGGTTTCTGAATCCTGGCAGTATTGACATTTTGGACAAGATGATTCGTTGTTATGGGGACTGTCCTTTGTGCACTGTTGGATGCTGAGCAGCATGACTGTGGTCTACCCACTAGATATTGGTCACCTTTGTGTCTCCAAGACATTACCAAATGTCCACCGGGAACACAAAATCTACCCCACCCCTATCCCACTGAGAAGCACTGCTGTAAAAGGTAAGAACATTTAAAAATAAAAACACAATACCATTCCCCCACCTAAAAATATTAACAACAATTCATGAACATCATAAATTATCTGAACACAATTTCTGGACATCGTAAATGTATCTCGTCAGTGCTCAAACTGTCCTAATTGTTTTATACAATTTTTTCTCAAATTTTTCAAAGGAGGTTCTAAACAAAGTACACACTGCAAAAGTTCCCCTTCCTCTTTTTTCTTTGCAATGGATTCAAGTGAGGGCCACACACTCCAATTGGTTGATTTGATTCTTATCTATAAAAGTTTCCCCTCTGTTTCTTTTCATTTCTTCCCATTTACTTATGGAAGAGACCATGTCTTTTGTCCTTTAGTTTCCCGGGCTGGATTTGGCTAACTGCAGCTCTGTGCTTTCATTTATCATATTCCTCTTGTACCAATGTTTCATATAATGGGTAGCTATAAAAGTTTGATTGAATCCTTGTTTGAGTTTTTGGTAAGAATATTTCAGGGCCTCCCTGGTGACACAAGGGGTTAAGACACAACCTATGAAGCTAACCACAGCCACTGCAGTGCGATTATGATGCCGGATCAGGGAACTATCCACATGGTGCAGCAGACCTCTCCTGACTCACCCACTGCTCCCTCAGCAGTGTATTTCAGTCAATCTGCCTGTTCTGTTCTCTACTGTCTCTGGTGAATCCTCTCATCCCCCCATACCTCTGGCCTGTACCTCAGTTCTTGTATGCATAAATAAACAAATCTTTAAAAAAAGAATATTTCATAGGTAATGTTGAACACTGATCAATCTTGATAGAGAAAATTGATATTTGGTATCTACCAATGCAATGTAAAGGAAGTTCACAAGTATACAGCACCACCTAGGACATATTCTTGCCAAAAATACAAAATGAATCTGAATCCAGTCAATCCTAGACTTAACTAGCAGTCTGCAGGAAATATAGGGGCTGGAAGAACATGTTAAATAACATCATGGGACATAAACTCACAATGTAGAAAATTGTATGAGACCAATGATCCAGTTTCTCCCATAAATAGGGAAAAAAAAGGAATAAGAAAATCATGGACTGAGAAGATTGATTTTAACATCTGGATCTCACTTGAATCCTGATTTATACACACAGTCTATAAAAAAGTATTTATGGGATAGTCATGGAAATCTAAACGGTTATTGAATATTAGATATGACAGTTATTGTTAAAATGTTTTTGGTATGATATTATGCTTATTTTTAAAGTCCTTATATTATAGAGATACATGCTAAGGTAACTGTGAATGGAACAATACCTGAAATTTGATTTAAAATAGTTCAATGGGAAGAGGGAAATGTATAAAAATGAGACTGAGCACTCCTCCAGTCTGAACCTCACCTTCAGATCCTCACATAGGTCACCATAGTCGATCTCTATGAGGGCCTCTCGAGCATAGATACTGGAAGTTCGCTGGGAACCACTCACTGAATCCTCCCCCTGGGAGCTACCCTGCAATAGCAAGAGGGAGAATCTAATGGAGCAGACTGTCCATGAGAGTCCCTGGGGGGTGTCAGGGGTGATAGGGGCTCCTTTGCAGCCTTCAATGTTCCTGAGAAAGAACCATGCTAGAAAGCACTTGTGGCAAAAGGAAGAGTCAGTTTAAAGATTAGCAAAGGTGTCCCTTACCCAACCCTCTCCTGGCCAACCTCTCTCACTGCAGCTAAGCTATCATCCCTCAAGTCCCACAACCTCTGTCTTCCTTTCCTCTCAACTAGTGGCCCTCAACTCCCACCCCCACCAATTCCCATCACCTGCTAGAGCTAACATAGCTCAAGTCCCTAATGTTTGATTTTTCTCCTCTTCCTGGTTTACGTCCACCACCTACTGACATAGAGCTCTATCCCAAATTCAACTTCCCTTTCACACCAAGGCTATTATCCTTCACCTCACCTGACTTCACAACCACACCCTGCCTCATCTCCCTTGCATCCTTCATGTTCCTCACCATCTTCCCCTGCCCTCACCATCTTCCCTCCTGCCTCCCTCACCAATTTCATCCTCCACCTCTGAATAATGTTGACAGCTCATTTCCACACCAGCCATAATACTCACCTCTTCCTGACTAATATCGTCCATGGTGCCCTTAGACAGTGGCAACTTGATGTCTTGCATTTTGCAGGCCTGTAGCAGGTTGTGGCGATCACTGCGCTTCTGTTCAAGCTTGGTCTCAATGGCTGTCACCTCCTTTTGTAAATGGGTCATTTCCCTAAGAAGATCCAGGGAGTTGGGTGAGACCCAAGTCCAGCAGGTTACCTGCTCTACTACTTCCCCCAACCCTTGGCTTGAACTCACTCACTTGTTAGCGCCCCCCAGTTTTTTACGAATCTCCTCCATCTCATGATTCTTGTCATTCACCTCCGACTTCTTGGCCAGATGCTGATTCTTCAGGTCTTGTAGTTGGGCCATGGTCTCATCGATTATCTTCATGTGTCTTTGCTCCTCCTGGTCCCAGCCAGGGGGACAGGACAAGAGGTGAAGGCTTCCCCCATCTCACCTTGGGATCTTCTCCCCTTGCCCTCCCCCCTTGCCACCAGATAGTTTGTTGGAGCCTCTCTTCAATGAACTCTGCTTTCACAAAGTTATGAAAGCTCTGCTTTCCATTACACAAGTTGCCTTCAATAGAAAAGTTCAATGTACAGAAAAAGTATAAAGCATGGAGAAGCGAGGGGCGGGGACCCATAATCTCAGCAGCAAGAGATAAACCAATTAATATTTTAGCCTATTTTCTCCCAGCACAACTTAGAGAAAACTCTATGTAATTGAGACTTGACTGTAATTAAAACTATATTCTGATTTAATGTTATATTTGAGTACTTTTCCTACATTAAAACGACTGCCATTTAAAAATAAAGACCTAGAATCTGGATTTATGATTCTGGATCATCTAGATGTCCACCTAGCCCTCTCCCAGGATTTTACTCCCCAATCTGCATTTGCATTTAAGATCCCAGTAACACCAAAGAAGACTATTTTAACCATTAGGGTTTAATGGGGAAAAAAACCAACCCAATAACAATATAAGCAGACAGGGCCTCCGTGGTGGCACAAGGGGTTAAGTCTCAGTACTATGAAGCTACTGGCAACCACTGTAGCACAAGATCGATCCCCAGCCAGGGAGCTGACCCACATGGCGCATCAGACCTCTCCTGTCTGGCCCGCTGCTCCCCTCAGCAGTGTATTTCAGTCAGTCTGCCTGTTCTGCTCCCCACTCTGTCTCTGGTGAATCCTCTCACCACCCCCCCCCACCTCTGGCCTGCACCCCAGCTCTTGTATGCATAAATAAATAAAATAAATCTTTTAAAAAATATATAAGCAGGGCCTCCCTGGTGGCACCGGCGGTTGAGCGCAGCGCTGTGAAGCTGTCTGCAACCTCTGCAGTGCCGGTTTGATCGCCGCCAGCCACGGAGATACCCACATGGCACAACACACCTCTCCTGTCTCACCCGCTACTCCCATCAGCAGTGTATTTTGGCCAGTCTGCCTGTTCTGTTCTCTGCTCTTTCTCTAGTGAATCCTCTCACCCTCCTGCACATCTGGCCTGTACCCTGGTTCATGTATAAAAATAAATTAAAAAAAAAATCTTTAAAAAAATATATATAAACAGGCCTCCCCTGGTGGCACAGCGGTTGAGCGCTGGGCTGCGAAGCTGCCCGCAGCCTCTGCAGCGCTGGTTCAATCCCCAGCCACCAGCGAGGGTCCCACATGGTGCACATGGTGCGCAGCCCTCTTCTGCCATGCCCGCTGCTCCCCTCAGCAGTGTACTTCGTTGGTCTGCCTGTTCTGTTCCCAGCTCTGGCTCTGGTGAATTCTCTCACCCTCCTGCGCTTCTGACTGTACCCAGGGCTTGTATAAATAAATAATAAAAAATATCTTTACAAAATATATATAAATATAAATATAAATATATATATATATAAATATATATATATATATAAATATAAGCAGACATGAAAACCAAATATGTTCAAAGCAAGTGAGGATCAAATCACCTCACAAGAGGGGATGCTGTGAGGTAGAAAGATTTCACAAGGAATTTAAAGAGAAGAGGTGTGGGGAAGGCGAGTTGTTAGACACTTCACTACTCATCGACCCAGGCAGAGGCACAGGCACACTATGAAAAGGGACTCAGTTTCAGCAAAACACCATTATCTGTTACACTGAACTAATGTGGAAAATTATAATATTCAATGTACAACTTTTTCTTGGCCTTTTGGTTACATGTCCCATGTATGTATGTCTGTATTTAAGTAATGTTAAGAAATTTTTAAGCCAACAATGGAGATCTTGTGAAAATCTTTCCTTTAAAAGGGAATTGGATATTCCTAATAGTTGAGCACCATTAAACTATACAAATACTGTATAATGTAGCATACTCTACTAAATTCATTCCCAAGGGGTATTGGGTAGTTTCTAATATTGAACTGTAGTGACTGTGATAAACATCAACCTCTGTGTATGCACAAAAACGTGCCAACATTGTGGAGTCCTTCAGGTCTTACTAGTTTAGACAGGACTCACGTATTCTGAAGGCTCAAGATGGATGGTGCTATTTGGCATAAGAATGCTGGTCTCATGCACCATGGCCAGGTATTATTATTCCTTTTAAAAAAATTTTGGGGTAATGTGATAGGAAAAAATTATATCTGCTTATTGCTTTAATTTGCATTCCCTTGATTTCTAGTAAGGTTAAAATATGTGTATGTGTTTATAGGCTATTTGAATGTTTACTTGAAGTGTGCTACTTAACTCAGTTTTTTTCCTATTTAGTTCTTAGTGTTCTCTTATTTTGATGAGAGCTTTATAAATTATGGCTATTCCAGGAATAGTCACTACATGTCTCCCTAAAATATTAAAAGGCTTGGAGCCTCCCTGGTGGTGCAAGGGGTTAAGCACAGAACTATGAAACTATCTGCAGCCTCTGCAGTACGAGCATGACCCCGGCCTGCCAGGGAGCTACCCATATGGCGCAGCAGACCTCTCCTGTCTTGCCCGCTGCTCCCCTCAGCAGTGTATTTCAGTCAATTCACCTGTGCTGTACCCTACTCTGTCTCTGGTGAATCTTCTCACCACCCCCCACCCCGTACCTCTGGCCTGTACCCTAGTTCTTGTATGCATAAATAAATAAATCTTTAAAAAATGAAAGGCTTGATTTCAGTTTGGCTTTCACCTATCCCTAGAATTAATTAATCTGAGTCAAGTGGTCACCACACACTTAAATTTACTGCAGGAGAAATGAGAACTAGAATGCAACTGTTAAAATGACCTATCCTATAACTGAGTAGACAAGACCATCTAAGGTCAAATATCCCAGTAAGGCAGATACTGCTTTAGTAAATTTAAATAAAGCAATGTTTTCATATACTTTCCCCATCCCTGGGATTGTCTAAAGCACTATGAAACACGGGATTTGGAATGTAGTGAAATAGCTCAGGGAGTATGATTTAAGAAGGGACAAGCCATTTAAATGCTCAACAGCGGGGCCTTCCCTGGTGGTGCAGTGGGTTGAGCATCGCGCTGTGAAGCTGTCCGCAGCCTCTGCAGCGCCGGTTTGATCCCGGCCGGCCAGCGAGGGTCTCACATGGCACAGCAGACCTCTCATGTCGCGCCTGCTGCTCCCCTCAGCAGTGTATTTTGTCAGTCTGCCTGTTCTGTTTCCCACTCTGTCTCTGGTGAATCCTCTCACCCTCCCACGCCTCTGACTGTACCCCGGTTCTTGTATAAATAAATAAAATAAATCTTTAATAAATAAATAAATAAATAAATGCTCAACAGCCAGTCAATACAGTCTGCCCCACTTGACACACAGTATTTATAAGAGTTTATTGCTTGGAGTTCTCTATTACCCAACACCAACTATATGGATAGTCTGGTTTTGGGTTTTTGTTTTTTTTCTAAATTTGGGGGCAAATGCTCTGTGAGTTGCTTAAAATAGTACTTTTTGAAGAGAAAGGCTATAGCTCCCCCTACATCAGAGCACAACAAAGATTAAGAACACAGTTCCAGGTAATCTAAATTTTACCCCTTGTCTAAGTCAGACCTTCAGAAAGCTGACTGTGTATTTAGACTTGCATTGCTTTGATTCCCTCTTTGAAAGGCTTTTCTTATGTTTTTTGGTTCTACTGTCATTATGTTGAGGAGTGTAACAAAAAACAATAACGTGAATATAGTACAGAAAAATAATTAAAGGTGAGGAGAATGAAGTAAAAATCCTCTCTCCTCACTTATTGAGATCTTAGACAAGTCATTAACCTCTAGGAACCTGTTTCCTAATCTGAAAAGAGTATTTACTTCAAGGAGTTATTTTAAGGAACTGAATGAGAAAAAGCACATAGCACAGTGCCTTGGTCCATAGCAAATGCTCAATTATAAAATTTATTATCGTGCTGATTTTCAGTGATGCACACCTGAAAGAAGATATAATGTAATGCTATTTCAATAAAAGAGAAAAAAAAATATATATATACATATATACCCTCAAACTTAAAAAATACCTATTGTGTGTCTTGTAAAGATACTGTCTACATCAACCAGTGCTTCTTATATGAGGGTCCCTGGGAAACATTTTTCTCTTACACTATTGAAAAGAAAAACTGTTTTCATCTTTGGGATCCTGAGGCTCTTTCAACTAAGTATGTCTTCATCTTTGCTCTGGTCGCTAGCAAATTTAAAGCTGAATATACAACTTAACTTCACCCACTGAGTAGCAAAATCTCCTAATAATTTTTGATAACTAACTTTACCCTTTCACCCTTACTTTCCCATGGCCCTGGATGGTTTCCTGTAATGTTGTACTACCATTATTATTTTGAGCATCTTCAAATTCTTTTTTTTGGAATGAGATAAGACACATTAAAAAGAAGTTAACAAAATGATAGAAGAAATAAATCATGGCTATTATCCTGTTTTTCATATTGCTTCCAATTTTTTCTCCCAGGTTTTAGACTATATTGTCTTTCTTTCTTTTTTTTTAAATTTATTTATACAAGCATTGGGTACAGTCAGAAGCACGGGAGGGTGAGAGGATTCACCAGATCCAGAGTGGGGAACAGAACAGGCAGAATGAGGAAGAACACTGCTGAGGAGAGCAGCGGGTGCGGCAGGAGAGGTCTGTGCACCATGTGGGACCCTCACAGGTGGCCAGGGATCAAACTGGCGCTGCAGAGGCTGCGGGCAGCCCAGCACTCAACCACTGCGCCACCAGGGGAGGCCCCTAGACTGTATTTTCATGCTCTCCTTCCTTACCTTCTTGAGCTTTTCTATCTCATTTTCATCCTTTTTCACTGTCTGCTCCCACATATGCACTTTATCTTGGTCCTCCTTCAGTTGGTTCTTTTCAAAATCCAACTGGATGCCCAAGCGAGTCTTCTGATTCTCAAACTCCAAACTGTGGAGGAAAAGGAGAACTAGGCTGAGAACACAGGGACCAGCTAAATTTCATCACCATTCAGCTCATTTGCCCAAATCTATATATATAAACTGTTCCCTGATGTTGGAGAACTAAGTTCCTCAGCCTCGCTTTGTGAATATGGCACAAGGCAGGGGAGATTGAGCCAAACTCCATTAATCCCCCTTTAAACACCAAAGGACTCCAGAGCCTTCCTAGAAGAGTACACGAAAAGGTTGACCTGAACCCACCAGCTATGATAATTCCTGTTTATTAAACCCCTGAATACCTATATTACCTCTAGTCGTCTTATCAACAGCTCCACAAGTAAGCATTATTATTATTCTAGTTTTACAAAAACAAGGAAACTTAGGCCAAGAGCTAAAAGACCTGTCCATGGCTACATGGCTAGTAAATGGCACATCCAAGACTGGAATCCAGAGGTCTATCAACAAAACCCAGGTTCATTCTCCTAGGGCATCACTGCAATATAATGTGGTGAGTTAAGAGAACTGGTATCCCAACTCTGCCATTTGTTAAGTAGAGTGTAATCTTGAGCAAGTCAGTTATACTCTTCTGGCCTGTTTCCTCATCTGTAAAAATGGAAATAATAGTATTTACCTCAGAGTTATTGGGATTTTTTTAAACAACTTAGTATCTATAAAGTCCTTAGAACCATGTCTGGCACACTGTAAGTACTCAAATTCCAACTATCATTATCCTCATTGCTAGATATACTAGCTGTGCTCACCTCATATTTACCCAAGGGTTTTGATTCTTCCCAAAAACCCCCACTTCACACCCACAATAACCCCAAAATTCCAGAAAAGGCAGAGGTTAGGTAGTACCAAAAAAATTAAAAAAGGAGAAAATCCTAGATTCCTGCTATTGGCCTCCTCTCCGTCTCTTCAAAAACTCAAGTATGTAACAGCATACTGATACTAGCAGGCCAGGCAGGACTAAAACTTCCAACTGCTCCCCCACACCCCCAAATATGGTGTGACAGATGCTGCCAGATGTCATGCTAGCAGCTTAAACCTATTAGTCACTATAATCCAAATGGAATGTAATTAAAGCTATAATTCTAAGCTATGCAATTTTAAGTCCAATCTCCTAAGCATGACTCATAAAGCCCTCTGTGATATAGCCCCTGCTGACCTCTTTGCCACCCCCACCTTCCTCCTAACCCCATTTTTATGCTCCAGACATTCAAAACTACTTAGTTTCCAGAATAAGGCATGCTCTCTCACACCTCCAAGCATGCTGTTCTCACTGCCTAGAAAACTCCCCTCTGTCTGCTGCCCAACTGGCTAAATCATACTCACTCTATAGGTCTCCAGTTCATCACTCTTTATTCTATAAAAACTCTCCTTATGGCTGTGAATGGGTTATTAGTTTCTATTACACTTTTTTTCTATTACACTCCTTTTTTGCGAAGCTGAGTTAATCATATCCCACAGTTCATAACACACTTATGATCACTGACTGTTTCAAGACCCTTCCCCTTGTCTCCTTTGGTTCAATCTGATTTTATCTTCCCTGTGGTGAGCAGTCCTCCAAAATCACATACAGCCTTAAAAATGCATATCCTTGTAAAATGTCATTTTGTTTTTAAATTTATACAAATGCATCATGGTGTTACAAATTTATCCAAGTTACTGTCTATAAATCTAGTCTTTGCTTTGAACTGCTACACAGCATTTGTAGTCTGTACATTCATCATGTTTAAGTGGTATTTTCCCCCAGTGATGATCAACTACATTGCCACCAACACTCTGCTACTACAAATTATAAGATGAACAACCCTGGATGTGTGTCTCTTTGAGACCCCGTGGAGAAATTCTCTGGGATATATTACCCAGGAGTGGCTTTGCTAAGTTATAGGGCTTGAGTAAACTTGCTTTCATCAAATACTGGATTGCTTTTATTTGTTTTTCTCCGATTAGAAACAAGACTGAATATCATTTCATATAGTTATTAGTCATTTGATCTTCTCTTTCCATGAGATGCTAACCACCATCCATTTTTCTATTGGGTCATGTTTTTCCTTATCAACTTTGCAGCTCCTCAACATTTCCTCTGAATTTTATATCTACCTCAAGTATGGTATCAGTCACACTGTTCTGGAATTGTTGATTTACTTGCTTGTCTCTCCCACTATTCCATCAACTCCCTAAGAACAAGGATAGTCACTAAATCAATTCTATATCCATTGAGACTGGCTTGAGGGTAGGAGAGAAATGCAATATTTACTGTTATCTGTGAAGGGTTAGATCAACCGCCAACTGAGGTCTAGAGAGTGACTTCCTTCAGAAGGACTGTGTCAAGTTCTTCTGTCTTACCCTCTTCTCCCCATCCCTTCCAATACCTACCACAGGACAACTTGGTACAACTCAGGTACTCAAGAATGGTTCGATGAATGAATGAATAAACTAAAGTGGGGAAGAGAGGAGAAATTGTTTCATTCTTACTATTCTTCCACTGTAGAATTTTGTTTCTCCTCCCCTGCATTGCCCCATCAGGATAATAACAATAAAAGCAAATATACATTGCTCTTAGTAGGTGCCAAATATTATGCTAAATTCTTTACAAGGAGCAGCTCATCTGATCTACCTAACAATGCCATGCGATAGGTATCGCTAATATCCCATTTTACAGATATGAATGCTAGGGCTTGAGAGGTCAGGTCACTGCCTGAAATAATGAATTATGGAGCCAGAATTTTAACCAAGGTAAAACACTTAAAGTTGGCACTTTTTTTTTTTTTAAATACAAGAGCCAGGGTACAGTCCAGATGCGCGGGAGGGTGAGAGGATTCACTAGAGACAGAGCAGGGAGCTCAGGACAGAGCCTGTTCACCAGGACAGAACAGGCAGACTGACGAAATATACTGCTGAGGGGAGCAGCGGGCGAGACAGGAGAGGTCTGCTGCGCCATGTGGGTTGTTCCGAGGCTGGTGGGGATCGAACCGGCACTGCAGAGGCTGTGGACAGCTTCACAGCGCTGAACTCAACCCACTGCGCCACCAGGGAGGCCCTAAAGTTGGCACTCTTAACCACCACACTATGTCACATTGCTTCCTAATATCTCTTTTTTGAAGGTGACCTACGATAAACTCCCATCATTCTATGACATGGTTCCTGCCTTATAGCATCAGACTGCTCAGGATGTCAGGCTGGGAGCTCAAGAGCACCCTCTTAATCTCCTACCACACTTCCACCTACCGCTTTTTGGCGATTTCATTCTGTCGCTTCACCTTTTCTTCTTCAAACTCCCGGATGTTACGCACACCTATCTCCCGACAAAACTCTTCAAACACTTCATCCTCTACCTAAAGGGAAAAAGGAAGAGGGGAGGTATCAAAGTTACTTTGGATTGGAGTCCTGCTTCGAGCCCCAGTCCTGCCCTGATGCACATGTCAGCAAGGCTCATTCCCTACCAACCTGGTTCATCTTCTCCTTCAAGTCTTTCATTTCCCTCTCTCGGCTCTGGATGATCCTCTTGATATCATTGATGCGAGGCCCAAAATTGGCTAGCTCGCTCTCCAGTTTGGACTTTTCCTGCAGAATGGGGTTGAGAGGGCAAAAGAGACCAGGCTCCTTGGAGGAAAAGAGCCACCTCAAGCACACTGCTCCATGGTCAGAAAGGGCTAGTTCTCTATACTCAGAGGGAATAAAATTTAGCTCTGCCCCAGTCAAGACCCCATCATCTCTCACTTGAACCATCACATGACTTCTTCCCTGGTCTCCAGTTTGGTCAGCTTCAATGCTCAGGGCTCATCATTACTTACAGGTCCATACTCCCTTATCTACAATCCATGGTATCAGATATGTTTTGGAATTTAGAATTTTTGATTTTAGAAAAAGGTAAATTGATAAATACACTACACATGACATCACACCTCCAGATGTTATCCCTATAATTTATCTAGAAGAGTAGCCCCCACAGAGACTGAAATGCCAATGGCTCACTTTCATTTTACTTTCAGAAGGTCAAATGCTTGCTGAATGAATCATGCTAGTAATAGCCCTTATTTACTGAGTATTTACTGGGTACAAGGAATCAGTCTAAGCACTTTACATGTATTTACTCATTCAATCTTCACAATGACTATAAAGCAGATAATATTCTAACTCCCATTTTACAGATAAAGATGGAAAAATCGACAGACACTGCAAAATTAAATATTTGCTTATCTCATACAAAGACAAGATCTGAACCCCAGGCTGTCTGACTCTGTTATGCTTGGTTCCCTGAATAGGTTAAGGGGAGACAGGGAAGGTAGAACAAGTTCCCCACTCCAGAGAAACTTAGGCTGGAAAAGTACAGATGGCCTGTAAAGGACAGGATAGAGTTGCAGGCCAGGTCCCACCTGCAGATTCAGGGCTAGATGTCGTGTCTTGGTCTGTTCTAGGTCACTCTGTGAGTATTTGAGCCGCATCTGCAGTCCATGGGCCTGAGACTGCACCTGACGCAGCTCTGCCTCCTTCCGTTTTGCCTTCATCTGCTCCTGAAGTAGACAAGAAAGAAGGGCTAGGTGGTAAGAAGATGGCTGGCCTGGACTTAACACCCATCCCCCACTCCTAGGGAGAGTAGTGCCTGTGGCTCACTTTCAGTTCCTCTGTCAACCGCTCCTTCTTCTCTTTCAACTTGTCTACTGCTTTCTCATCCCAGCGCCGTGCCTTGGCCTTCAGGTCACTTGCCCCACCAGAAATCACTCCTGACTTCTGGAACAGGGTCCCATCCAGGGCCACTGTCTATAAAGAGTAGGGAGAAGAGAGGAGGAAAAGCTGCACATACGAAATCTTCAATACTAACCACCTGTTCAGCTCCAATCTGAGTGAAGCAAACCATACCTTGTGGCGCTGATGGCCTCCAAAGGCAATGCGGCGGGCATCTTCCACATTGTCACAGACAAGAGCATTGCCACAAGCATACTGAAGGGCCTTTTTGATGTGAGGTGGCTCGTAACGAATCACATCAATCACCAGTTTGGCCCCCTTCAGCTCCCGGAGTTTCTCATCTGTAGGCTTCACCTATGGAAAGCAGCTCAGTAAGTGACAGAACATGGAGCATGAGGAGGAGAGGCCCTTTCACACTGTCCTGACCCCACCCCCACCAGTCTCACCTCCAGGTAGTCAAGAGGCAAGAAGGTCTCAGGCTCCCCACGTTGCTCCTTGATATACTGAATACAGTCCCTGCCTGTCTTCTCTGAGTCCACAATAATGGCATCCATGTTCTTGCCCAAAACTTTGGTTACAGCAATCTGGTACTTCTTTTGTGTGGGCTGGCAGAGGTCAATGAGGCGGCCATACTGAATAAAGTCAGAAGAGAAAATTGAAGCATGAAGTTCTTGGGAGTTGGCTCAGGAACCCCAATTCCCAGCTTGGTAAGGGGGACAGATCAGAATCTCTATCAAGAACACAGCCCCCAAGCTATGGAAGAAAAGTCTACTCTGGTTCCCACAGCAATAAAGACTTTAGGTCATCAAGTCTAAATCCAAAATTATCTATCCAAAAACCTCACTTTTACCATTTCACAGACTACTGCCTCTCCAAGCACTACACCAGACACCTTATATATATATTACCTCAAATCTCACAAGCATTCAAGGAAATCAGGCTCTTTTTATAGTTCACTTTCTCCATGCTCCTCAAACCACCATGGTTCCCTTAAAAACTGTCAGATAAAGGGTAACATTTTTTAAAGATTTATTTATTTATTTATACAAGCACTGGGTACAGTCAGAAGCACAGGAGGGTGAGAGGATTCACCAGAGCCAGAGTGGGGAACAGAACAGGCAGACTGACGAAACACACTGCTGAGGGAAGCAGCGGGCGCAGCAGGAGAGGTCTGTGCACCATGTGGGACCCTCGCTGGCGGCTGGGGATCGAACCGGTGCTACAGAGGCTGCGGGCAGCTTCGCAGCCCAGCAGTCAACCGCTGAGCCACCGGGGAAATGAAGTTGAACCCAGTCATGGGATCACAGCAAAAGAGATACACATGGGATTTGGTTGAAGTGGCAAGTGATCTGATCAAGTCCAGGATATCCCTAAAAGCAAAAATGAGCCAGCTGGTACATGCCAAGGAGCCCATATCAAAGCCTACACAGAGTACTTCCTGAGAGACTAATTCCTTCCCCACAGTCCCTCACTCTTTCAAATGTTTCTCCAGTTTCCCCACCTCCCACAGTGTGGACACAGCGAGAAAAAACCTTCAGGAAGATGCAACTGGTATAATGAAAAGAACATGAAGTTAGGAGTCAGAACAAGTTGGGTTTGAAGTGCAAGTCTTCCACTTATAAATTGTGCTTCAGGCAAGTGTCATTTAACCTCTCTGAGCCTCAGTTTCCTTAGCAGTAGAAATGGTGTAGCAACCCTGCCCTCACAGGGACAATGGAAAAATTATCTGACAGTATGAAAGTTAAGTGCTCAGAAAGTAAGTCCCCTCTCCACTCTTACCACAGAGCCAGGGTATAGGCGCTTGATGCTTTCCATAATCTCTGCCTTTCTCTGTTGGCGGCTGCTCTCCTGGCGATCTATACGGGCATCCCCCAGTTGCTCCATCACCTGGTTCAGCTCCTTATTGATCTCATCAATTCGCCGCTTGGCCATCTCTACCTCCTCTGTCAGCTCCCCCTCTAGTTTCTTTTGCTCCTCCAAGGACTGCCTACAAAGTGATGGAACACAGGGCTTACCTTGGCTGGTCAGAAAATATCCTTAGTTGAGAGGGACTCTAGGGTTCTGGCCCAGGGAGAGGGAGGGACAGGACAGGACAAGTAGGGTTCACATGAGTAATAAGGAAGGCTACAGAACCACATACTTGCTAGTTGTGATGTATTCCTCCAGTTTCTCAATTCGCTTCTGATTCTCTTCAATCTCCCGCAGTTTTTGCTTGATTTTCGCCTGGGAGAGAAACAGATACACATCATCACCAGGAGTTGAGCAAGTTTTAATTCCAAGACCTGGATTAAACACCCTATATGGTCACTCATCCAGCAGTTCAGAAGACCGACTATTCCTGATACAATCTGTCACTAATACAGGAGGCCTACACAGTGTTCTCTGTGGCTCTGCTGATGGGGCCTCCCGGGGTTCCACAAGACTTTCAGAGGTGTTCTACCCAGCCAAGTATATCTCCCTTGCCAATCAGGAAGGCCCAAACCAAGGCAAAAGCTTTGTGTGTCATTCTGTTTCTGTTCTCTCTTCTGTAAGACACAGGTAACCTCCACTTCACAGAATACACATTAAGTGCTTAACATTATCAACATTAATGTCTACTGCATTCTTTTAAGTATTTAAAAGAAATGCTTAGGTGGAACACTGCAGACTCTTGGGACACTGTAATAACTTTCTGTTACTATTATTGTTTTACTACTGTTATTGGGAAGGCAGTAAATCAAGTACATTTGATAAGAGAATGTACTTTAAAGTTAGACTTCCCAGGTTCAATTTTTGGTTCTGCCACTTAATAATGATGCGGCCTTAGGCTAATGATTTTACATTTGTGGTATAGTCTCCTCATTTGGAAAATGAAGAATTAATGTAAATGAATGAAGAATACATGTAAAGCACAGTGCATGCACACAAAAAGTGCTCCATAGATGTTAGTTATTGTCAATTACTGTTAAGACTTTCATTACTTTCTTTTCTCTGGACCATCATCCTTAACCTTATAGCACATGCCCACCTCTGTCTCTACTTTCTTCCGCTCTTCCAGATCCAGCCGGTCCTGATCTGCTTTCTGGTCTCGATTAAACTTTTCCAGTTCCTGGGCCAGGGTAGCTGCTCTCTTGCTGGCTTCTTCTTTCAACCGATGGTATTTCTTCACCTGTGTTAGGGACAAGGAAGGAGGACAGAGATAATCAAGTGAGTAACTGAGTCCTTGTCAGCCTAAGGATCTCCCCACCATCCCCCCCCCCAAGTCCTCCAGAGCTTACTTGATTCTCCTCCAAAGTCAAGTCTCTACCCTGACTCTGACTCTCCTCTTCCATCCGCTCCTCAAACTCCTGTCGGGCTTTTTCTACCGACAGCATCTCCTTTTCCAGTTCATCCATATCACCTTTACGCTTCTTGTAATGTTTCTGAGCATTCTGTAGGGACTTCTTGGCTGCTTCCAGCTTCTTGATTTTGTGGGAGGTATTTTCTTTGGCTTTGATGTACTGAGGCCGCTTCTGGTTCAGCTCTGAGTCCTTCTCCCTTTTGTCAGAGGGGAAGGGAGAGGGCACTGTAGGAGGGAGGGTCCCCAAGCTTTTCACCCAAAGAAAGGGGTCCGTGCACCCCCAGGGCAGCCTTGAAATTGCCTAAAAGAACAACAGCTGGATGCCCCACAGATCCTCACAAAAGGGACAGTCTCACTATTCCCTAGAACTGATGACTAGAGCCTGGCCACTTCATAAGGTAAAGCTACTGTCCTGCCTCGACCTGGCCAGGCAAGGCCCCTCAGCAACAACCCCCAAGAACACCCTGTGTTCACTTAGTTGTCCCTCATCTGATTTGGCCTAAATTCCTGTCCTTTAAATGTCTAGCTCTAGATTTTCCTCTTCAAGGAAGTCATTCACTGCCACTCCAGTGGTTGGGCGACCCATTGCTTCCTCTCCAGGGGCAAGGCCACTGCCACTTTCAAGTTCTCCCTCTAGAGTCTAAATATTTAAATACTCTATTTGTCTAAAATGTAAACCAAGTAGTGTGCCTGGTGCTAGCCAAAATAAGGTGAAGACAGAGAAACCAACACAGGTACTAGACTGTAGACTCAAAGGAGCCCTAGGAAACAACACAGCCTCTTGTTTTCCCACAAGTTGCAGGCCTAGACCTGCCTCTTACTTGATCTCTTTCTCAATCTGCTGCTGCTCTCGCATCATTTTGCCCAGCTCCTTCTTCTTCTCCTTCAGCTCATCCTCTACTTTGTCCATTCGCTTCTTGTCCTTCTCGATCTCCTTGTTCTTAGAGGCCAGTTCCTTATTGAGCTTCTCGATTTCCACCTCATTATGGTAAAGTTTAAAAAGCTGCAGTTGTACCTGAGCTCGTACTACTTCATCCTTCAGGCGCTGGTAGCGATCAGCCTATGTAAATGGGGGCATGGAGGCACAGGCATGTGAGTAAAGCATTGACTCCATCCTGGCCCCTTGAGCCCAGAGGAAGCCTGGCCACCTACCTCTTCTTTCTCCTGTTTAGCCTCCTTGCGTTCAGCTGCGATGTTTTTTTTGCGGTGATAATTAAACTGAGTGTCCTCCTCAGCCTTCACCATTTCCTTCTTTCTCTTGTCATACTCCTGGGCCAGCTCCCCAGAGCGACTTATCTCTTCAAACAGAGCTGTTCTCTCTTTGGGGTTCTTCATGGCAATAGATTCCACAGCACCCTAATAAAGATCAAAAGACTCCCCATTTAGACCCTAGCTAGCATATCTATCCATCCAGAGTCTGAGTACTTAAAGACTCTATTTGTCTAAAATGCAAATCAAGTCATGTGCCTGGTTCTGGCCAAAGTAAGTCAAGGGAAGAAAGACTCTGGACTCAAAGCTCAAAAGGGTCCTGAGGAACAACACAACCTCTTGGTTTCCTACAAGCTGCATACCCAGGTCACTCCTACTCACTCACTCATAAAAAGTTCACTCAAGCCCCCTCACTGCATGGGGTGCTACATTTCACACTGGGCTTTGAAGGGATACACTCCTGCCCTTTGAGGCACACAGGGAACAAAAGAAACAGAAGCAAAGATAATACAGTGTGTTATCTGCAGTGACAGAAGTAGCAGAAAAAAAGGACTAAATGAAGCTTAAAGGTAGAAGACTGGCAGGGGTGTCTATCTGGGAAGGCATCCAAAAGGGACACCTAAGCCAAGTTTGAAAGATGAGGATAAACTAACCAAGAAAAGTAAAAAAGGTTATTCCATGTAGAAGAAAATTAATATGCAAAGGCCTATAAGTAGAATAAAGAAGGTCCATTTGGGAAACTGTAAATGGTTTCACTAGGCTGGCATGCAGGACTGGAGGGGAAGACTACTGGCAGATGAGGATAGTGAAGCAAGTACCAAAGGATGGTGTTTCCTGAATGATAGGAATTTGCATTTCATGCCAGGGCAACAGTTCTCAATCTTTAGCATTCATCATAATAACCTGCAGAGCCTGGTAAAACACAAATTGCTGGGTCCCACCCACAGTCTCTGAGTCTGTCAGTCTGGGATGAGGTCTGAGAATATGCATTTCTAACATATTCCCAGATAATGCTGTTCAAGAGACTATAATCTGAGAACCACCATCATGAGGCATTCAGAAACCACTGAAATGTTTTAAGAGAAGGGAGAAACACAGACTTATTTCTTTCTTCATAAGTAGAACCTAGGGGATGAACTGGAAAGGGGGCAGAAGGAAGCCCAGTGAGGAAGATGCTACATTATTTCAGGGGAGAAATGAAGCTGGAGATGGAGCAGGCCCAGTGGGGTTGGGACAAGGGCTGACAAAAAGCAGATAGTAATTGTTAAAAACACCTACCTGAAAGACGAGGAAGTTACGAGCTTTGATAAGAATGCCCAGTTTCTCTAATTCCTCGCTGTATTCATGTAGCTGGACCACTTTGTTGTTGATCTTATACTCAGAGGAACCTCCTAAAGACAACATATGAGTCAGTCAAGGGTTAGGCCTTACTCCTGCCCTAGTCAACTAGTGTAACCACCTCCCACCCGAGGAGAGTCTTCTGGCGAATCTCACTCACCAACAATGACACGGGCAAATGTGCGATCCTCAGCACCCTCCTCAGAGTAGACCATGCTGACAAAGGCCCGATTGGCAGCTGGCTTGCCCACAGGAGCTCCATGGATCAGGTCCCTCAGGGTCTTTACCCGCAGGTTGCTGGTTTTTTCTCCCAACACAAAGCTGATGGCATCCATGAGATTTGACTTCCCTGAGGGAAGGACAAAGAAGAGGAGGAAGTCAGGAAGAAGGGAAAAGGAATAAAGGATACATTGACAGGAATAGGAAAATTCCTTAACTAGTTATTGTTCAGACTCATGGGAGGAGAAAAAACTGGTTTGCCCCTATAAAGACTGGGCCCAATCAAATTCCTGGCCGTTGAAAAACAGTCCCTTTGCATGGGTCTCCCTGGTGGCGCAAGGGGTTTTCTCAGTACTATGAAGCTATCTGCAGCATGAGTCCAATCCCTGGCCAGGGAGCTAACCCACACGGCACATCAGACCTCTTCTGTCTCACCTGCTGCTCCCCTCAGCAGTATATTTCAATCTGCCTGTTCTGCTCCCCACTGTCTCTGGAGAATCCTCTCACCCTTGCACCTCTGGCCTACACCCCAGCCCTGTATGCACAAATAAAAAAAGTAAATCTTTTTTAAAAAAGAAAGAAAAACAGTTCCTTTGTAGCTATTACTTATAGTAGTCAAAAACTGGAAATCCATCAAAGCAAAGGTATATGCACAGAATGAATGGGCTGTTCTACAACTTTTAGCAACATGGGAAAATGACCATAGGAGGAACTAACAAGATACAAAAATCAATACGGTTTGACCTCAGCCATGTTTAAAACACAAAAACAGGCTAAGAGGAGGAGGAAATGAGGAGTTGATGTTTAATGAGTGAGTATACCATTTCATCTTTGCAAGGCAAAAAGTTCAGGGGTTGGGGCCTTCCTGGTGACTCAGGGGTTAAGACGCAGCACTATGAATCTATCCTCAGCCACCGCAGCACGAGTTCGATCCCTGGCCAGGGAGCTGATCCACATGGCGCAGCAAACCTATCCTGTCTCGCCCGCTGCTCCCCTCCGCAGTGTATTTCAGTCAATCAGCCTGTTCTGTTTCCCACTGTGTCTCTGGTGAATTCTCTCACCCGCCCACCAAACACACACCTCTGGCCTGTACCCCAGTTCTTTTATGCAAAAATAAATCTTTAAAAAAAAATTCAGGGGTTTGCACAGCAATGTGAATATACTTACCAGTACTAAACTACACATTTAAAAACAGTAAAGATGGTAAATTCTGTTATGTGTAATTTACCACATTTTTTTAAAAAGGCATATTTCTACTGTGATACAATAGGAAGCACACAGCATCATCTATCAGTAGCTTACCAAAACTATTTAACCCAAATTTAAATAAGTCTTCAAACCCACCTTTCAGTTCATAGGAAATACAGCAATTAGAGGAACATAGTAAACGACACCACGATGAAACTTAGCACATCAATAGATTGTGGTATATTCGATAAGACAACTAGCCTGTTGTCAACTAAGCTTTCTTTTCCAAAAGAAAGGTCAGGAGAACTATTCCAGAACAAGCTATTACTGACACATAAGTAGAGGCAGTGCACTAATTTTGATTGGATTCTGGTTCCCAACAAAAGCAAAAACATTTGGGGGACAACTAGGGAAGCTTGAATATAAACTGAATAATTGATGACATGAAGAAATTTCTTAGGTATAATGATGGTATATTGATAATGTAAGAGAATGATGAATTTTAGGAGATGAATGATGAAGCCCTTAGGAGTGGTTGTCATTAGATCTGCAATTTATTTTCAAATAATTAAGCAAAACACACAAGTATGTTTGAGATTTTTTCATTGTAAAAATTTGGAGAGCAGGAAAGGCACTGGGGAAAAAAAGCATGAAAACATACAGTGTTAACAGTGTTGACTTCCTGGAATGAAAGTAGGTACAGGTCAGGGAACTGAGGAATCTTTCTTTATTATATATTCTTTTGGATTTTTAAAAAATTATATATTATGTTCAAGTATTAGCTATTTAAATAAACAAGATTTTCATTAAGTATGGCTATCTTTTCAGTAGTAAAGTCACAGTTCTTACCTTTATTTTAGACTCAGAGAAAAATACATTTCAAAAAATTTCAAAAAACCTCATGGAGGTTATGAAAGTTTAATCTCTACAAATTGCATTTAAAGTTCCATCCTAGGGCCTCCCCTGGTGGCACAGGCGGTTGAGCGCAGTGCTGTGAAGCTGTCCGCAGCCTCTACAGCGCTGGTTCAATCCCGGCCGGCCAGCGAGGGTCCCACATGGCCAAGCAGACCTCTCCTGTCTCGCCCACTGCCCCCCTCAGCATTGTATTTCATCACTCTGCCTGTTCTGGTGAATCCTCTCACCCTCCCGCACATCTGGCCTGTACCCTGGTTCTTGTATAAATAAATAAATAAATAAATAAATAAATAAATCTTTAAAAAAAAAAAAAAAAAGTTCCACCCTAACATATTACATAATGAACTAAGGAGTGATTTTCAGCACTTTTCTACCCAATTCTAAAAATGGCAGCCCAACCTTCTAGTTGAGTTCTAGTCCAACAGACAAGGTTCTAACCTTTGTTTTAATATTTCTCAACTACTGGGCCTCCCCTGGTGGCGCAGTGGTTGAGCGCTGGGCTGCAAAGCTGCCCGCAGCCTCTGCAGCGATGGTTCGATCCCCGGCCACCGGCGAGGGTCCCACATGGCGCGACAGACCTCTCCCGCCACGCCCGCTGCTCCCCTCAGTAGTGTATTTCGTCAGGTCTGCTTTAGCTGAAGGTGTACAATATGGTTTGATGTATATGTATGTATCAAGAAATGCTAACCACAATTAGTATCCATTACCTCACATAGATACAATCTTTTTTTCTTCTTGAGAACTTTCAAAATCTCTTAGCAACTTTCAAATATACGATACAGTATCCCTAACTAGTGACCACTGTTTCTAAAAAAGACACCGCCCAAGTCACTGTATCACATCAACTTCTCTAATTTCCTGCATTGCACTTATCACAGCCTAAAAATATCTTATTTTCTCTTTCTGTATCATCGTCTTTCCCCTCTGGAATAAAAGCTCCTTAGAGCATAGCTTATTCTATTCTCCGTTGTTTCCACTGCACCGTGAATAATTCCTCATAAAACAGTAAGAGTTCAATAAATTTGGTAAGCAACTGAGTTGACTATAAACGGTTTCAATGGTAACAAGGGATACGATGTATCCCCACCTCTAAGGTAGGGTGTAAAGGGTTGAGAACGCAAGCACTCCGGAGACAAGAGCTCTGAGTCCGAAATTCAAAAATACCGCCTCAGGAGAGTTTTTTAAAAGGAGTAACTGGAGTGCACCAATGCGAAGCAGGACGGGGAGCGGGGTTGAGGCAGAAATGTACAGTTTCGGACCGCAGGCCACCGGGGCCAGCAGCAGCCTCACACGTTCCGGAGGGTTCGACGAGGAGGGGAAGCCGGATGCAGCTAGTCGGGCCGGGTAGTGCGCGGTCGACAGCTGGCAGCCAGCTCTGGACGCACCACTTTTGGCGGGAGGGGGTAGTGGGCGGGGTAACGGGCAGTTTGGCCCAAACCACTCCCGCCCGAACAGGGGCCGCGCAAAGGTCGGGTAACTGACAACTGGGCAAGATATGCGAGTCAGGGCCCCCGAGCAGGGAAAGCGGATTCGGGCTGAAACCCCACAGCAGGGGCCTAGGAACCTGCGAAGGTTCGCGACATTGCAGGTTGCACGGGTTGGGTTGTGCTACCCGGCTGTCGGACAGGGGGGTCCGGACCAGGAGGTGCGCAGGGCCGTAGCCGGGTTTATCTCACCAGAGCCATTGGGTCCAATGATGGCGGTGAACCTCTGAAATGGTCCGATAATCTGTCGACCCTTATACGACTTAAAGTTCTCGATCTCAATCAGTTTCAGGAAACCCATGACGGCGGCGGCGCCGGCGGCGGTACTAAAGGCCGCGCCGTACGCCGGGGAACTGGGGTAACCCGCGCGGGAAACACCGCAGTGCAGGCCGGGCGGTTGGTAAACCTCGCGAGAATAAGTCCGTGCCAAACGGGATTTCCGACTTCCGGCGCTAGCAGGAACAAGGGGCGGGACCGTCGAGTAGGTAAGGAGGTTTTGTTGATCTGTTGCCTGGGCGCGAGCTTGCGTCATGCATTTGGACCCCGCCCCCATTTCTTATTACCTGGCAACCTAAAGCAGTGCCATAACTGACCAAGTTGTAGAGGAGGCGGTGCTGCAACTTTGGCCATCAGAGGAAGCCTGTGGAACCCGACCCAACGCTCACTGAGATGTGTCAAGAGTCACAGCAGTGACTTGCCCTCCAGGACAAGAAGGTGAGGGCTCGGCTATGGTTTTAGCATGGTTGGCCAGAAGGTTCAGACAAAAACAAGGTCGGATGGAACGACCCACAAGGTTCAGTAGGGGAAGACCTTAGTGAGGGTGGAGTAGGGTTGGAGGTGGAATTGGGTGTGAAGTGGAATGAGGATACTCTGGAGTAACAAGGATATGGACTGGAGAAAGATGGCCAGAGGTGCTGCCTCCCTCCTGTACCACCAGAATTCAGAGACTGCTGCTATAGCCATGGAATATTCTTAAATTTGAGCCACATGGCTACTTGAACCTAGACCCATCCTGGAAGCTTCAAAATTGGGACTTCTTGCAGAAAAAGTCATTTTTTTAAGATTTATACAAGAACTGGGGTACAGGCCAGAGGCGCGGGAGGGTGAGAGGATTCACCAGAGACAGAGCGGGGAGCAGAACCAGCAGACGGACCGAACGCACTGCTGAGGGGAGCAGCGGGCTCCACAGGAGAGGTCTGCCACACCATGTGGGAATCTCCCTGGCCGGGCTGGGAACTGATCTCACGCTGCAGAGGCTGCGGACAGTTTCACAGCGCTGGCTCAACCCACCGTACCACTGGGGAGGCCCGCAAAAAGGCATTTTATATGAGCCTCTGAGAGGGTCCCTAAGCTTCTACCTCTACCCTCTTCCTTTTCCCCAGCTTCATCTCTCTCTTTATGCCTAATCCCTATCCTATTCCCTCCTTTCCATCCTCCTTGCTGCATTCCTTGCTACCTCCCTTCCTCTGCTCCCTCGCCTCCACCTTTGTCAACTGCCATGTTGCCCTTTCTCTTTCTCCCATCCCTTTCCCCTCTCTCTTCCCCATCTTTTCTATCCCTTTCCTCCTTCACCTCATCCCATCACCTTATATCTGTTCATTACCAAGGCCATGACCTTTAGCAGTCCATAAAACTTTAAATGTATGGAATCTTTGCCTCCAGTGACTTTATATCATGGAGACAAAGGGAATGAAGAGGCTGAGGTTGGTACGAAAACCAAGACATGGAAAAGGTCTGGAGGTTGCCATAACCATTCCTGTAACTGTTTTTTAAATGATGTCAGAAGACTTGGAAGAATCTTAGTCTTAGGATAAGTCCAGGAAAGTGAGAAAGCTTGGTTGATGGAATCTAGTAGAGAAATTATAAATGAAGTATGATTGGAAGAAACAGGATCCGGCTAAGGGGATAAAATGACCAAAGGACATCAGTCTCATATAGTTGGCCAGAACTATTGTTCCACTTAACAAGATGACATGGGGTGGGGAGGATCAGATTAGATACCTACCAAAAGATCATATTGAATCTCACACCATATTCAAAATGCACTTCCAAATGGATCAACACCTTTATTTTTTATTTTCTTACATCGTTGTTCATTTTTGTGCAATATTTGATTTCTCTCCTCAGGTGTAGTCCCCATGATTCGCCACCACCACAGCACCTGTGAACCGTCACCATAGTCCCTTGCGCTCTTCTCTCCTGTTTTAATCCTCTCCCTCCCCCTCCCCTGCTGAATGCCTCAGATCTAAGGTTTCCCTGCAAGTTTTATCCTTTTCTGGACCCTTTGTTCAGTTTCCCTATGTTCTACCTGTAAGTGAAACCATCCAATATTTTTCTTTTTCCTTCTGATTTATTTCACTTAGTATAACCCCTTCCAGGTCCATCTATGTTGCTGCAAATGGCATGAGTTTATCTTTTTTGATTGCTGATTAGTATACCACTGTGTGCGTATACCACATCTTCTTGGATCAACAACTTAAATGAGACAGGCACAACTTTAAAAATTTTAGAATAGATAGAATATTTTTATGTTCTCAGAGGGTTTCTTTTTTTTTTTAAACATTTATTTATTTATGCATACAAAAACTGGGGTACAGGCCAGAGGTACAGGGGGTGAGAGGATTCACCAGAGACAGAGTGGGGAACAGAACAGGCAGACTGACTGAAATACTTTGAGGGGAGCAGTGGGCAAGACAGGAGAGGTGTGCTGCGCCATGTGGGTAGCTCCCTGGCTGGCGGGGGATCGAACTTGTGCTGCAGAGGCTGCGGATAGCCTCATAGTGCTGCACTTAATCCCTTGTGCCAGCAGGGAGGCCCTCAGAAGGTTTCTTAAGTAATAAAAACTTCTAAACTTAAAGGAAAAGATTGATAAATTTGAACACCTTCAAACTGATCAAAATTATAACATAAAGAGCCTCCCTGGTGACGCAAGGGGTTAAGCACAGCACTGTGAAGCTATCTGCAGCCTCTGCAGCATGAATTTGATCCCCAGCCTCCAGGAAGCTACCTACATGGTGCAGCTGACCTCTCCTGTCTAGCCTGCTGCTCCCCTCAGCAGTGTATTTCAGTCAGTCTGCCTGTTCTGTCCACCACTCTGTCTCTGGTGAATCCTCTCACCCCAGCCCCGCACCTCTGGCCTGTACCCCAGTTCTTATATGCATCAATAAATAAATCTTAAAAAATTACAACATTAAAGTGAAAAGGTGGTAAATGCACACAGAAACCTAAGAATTGATCATCTTTTATTTGGGTTCTGTGAAAGGTTCACAGTTGTTCATCTTGTTATATCTTATAATTTACACGTGTGTTACTATATATACTCCTTTGTCTGTATCATTACCATAGAATTATACTAATAAAGTGAAAAGATAAGTCACAAATTGGAGATGTTTGCCATATTTAAATCAATAGGTGATTAGTATATAGAATATCTGGGGAACTTCTAAAATTAATAAGAGGGAAAATAACCTAATTTTTAAAAAATGAACAAAGGCTATGAATGGTCACTTCGCAGAAAACAAAAATGGACAAAATGCACATGAAAAGACTGCATCTTCACCAACAATAAGGGAAATTCTAATTAAAATCAATAATAATTTGATAGCCACAAATTGGAAAAATTTAAAAAGTTTGCAATACTTAGTATTGCAAAAATACTGGAAAATAAAGACAAAAAGAAAAGTTTGCTGTAGAGGCAGGAATGGATATGGTGCAGGTTTTCTACAATCCAACAGACCCAGTAAAGGAGGAGTCAGGGTCCTCAGTGGATTTTGCATGTCTTTTATTGGGGTTCACCAGGCATACGGCAGGCAGGGATGCTGGGGGGCTGGGAGGCTGGCAGTCCTCCCAGCCCCCAGCAAATCTCCACTCTATCTGGGCTCTCCGGCCTTCTCTCATTCTCTCTCTCAGCTTCTGTTTGTTCTTGGCTTCTTCTCAGCTTCTACTGGCATCCCTGTGACACTGCCCTTAAAAAGCACAGTCTTAGCCCAGGTGAATCCCATCTACCTATGCCCACACCCTATTCCAGGTGCCTGCCATCAGGCATGCATTCAGGACCACAAGGATCCATCATCTATCCTGATGGCGGGAGGGCAGAAAAGCCTGACATTTTTCCTTACCCTACAGTCCACCCCCTCAGGGTTTTCTGCCATACATTCTACATATATACAATTTTCTTAGCAAACATAAACAAGGCAGCCATGGCCCACAAAAGCAAATACATCACAATATAACAACAAAATACATCAGAACACAAATAAGTCCAGGCAGGGCATCAACCTAGTGGCAAAAGACAATTATTGGTACCAGCAGATGATCCACCAAATCTGCTGCTGAAGGCACTGCTCATACGAGGGAGGGGAAATCACTCAGACATCTCTGTCACATGCCAGGAGCCGTCAGGCTTCCTGACCTTCTCTGGCTGTAGTCTTGGCTACAAGCCACACACTGCATCCACCCCCAGGGTGCACTCACTCCTGGATTGGGATTCTCTACCCTTTGGGGGTAATCGCCCAACCCTCAGGGTTTCTGTCTGCTGTCACTCCAACACTGGGCTTTCATAGCCACCAATGCGACACGCAGACCCCTGCACTCAGGCCAACCCACTGCACAAGCACATGGGTCGGGGATCCTTGAATACAAACTCTACATTCGGCTTGGGCTCCACCCCAAGTCACGTTCCCCACCCGTCCCCCAAGGACAGGTTCCTCAGCTCCTCACCCTCACTCGACAACGAGCAGGGCATCACCCACAGGTGATTTTACAAGACTCACTGTCCTTCCTCAGCTTACTTAGTGCTTAACAGCCACTCAGGGCTTCCCAAGCTTAGCATCAGTACCAGCTTTTGCCTTCTGAGTTGGCTTTTCTCCTCTGCCTAGCTGCTGGGCATACACAGGCTGATTTTGGCCATCAAGGCCCACTAGCCACTCCCAGATTCCCATCTCGGGGTGTACAAACAATAGCATTCTGCCCCAGGGTCCCAAAAACTTAACTTGCCAAAGTTCCTCCACCTTCTAGCAGGATTGTCGGTCCAAGTCTATCAGTCCAAGTCCGTTAGTCTCTCCCTGCATCAGTACTGGTGAGCTCCGAATTGTGGTCCTCTCTTCCGACGATTCTTGTTGTCTCAGGGGTTGTTGGCTGGTCCTCTCAGGCGTCTCCTCCTCGCGAGGTCTTGTCCTGCAGCTCCCGGACCTTGTCCATCTCTTGTGCCGCCATGACACCTCCAGTGTCCTCACAGGCAAACACAGTCTGTTACTCCTTAGTCCCTCCAGGTCTTTGGAGGGCTCCATACCCATCTGCATGGATCATCCTGCCGACTACGCCAATTGTAGAGGCAGGAATGGACACGGTGCAGATTTTCTACGATCCAACAGACCAGGTAAAAGAGGAGTCAGGGTCCTCAGTGGTTTTTGCATGTCTTTTATTGGGGTTCACCAGGCATATGGCAGGCAGGGATGCTGGGGGGCCGGGAGGCTGGCAGTCCTCCCAGCCCCCAGCAAATCTCCACTCTATCTGGGCTCTCCTGCCTTCTCTCACTCTCTCTCTCAGCTTCTGTTCGTTCTTGACTTTTTCTCGGCTTCTATTGGCATCCCTGTGACACTGCCCTTAAAAAGCACAGTCTTAACCCAGGTGAATCCCATCTACCTATGCCCACACCCTATTCCAGGTGCCTGCCATCAGGCATGCATTCAGGACCGCAAGGATCCATCATCTATCCTGATGGCGGGAGGGCAGAAAAGCCTGACATTTTTCCTTACCCTACATTTGCAATACTCAGTATTGATGAGGATGTGGAATGACTGGAGTTTTTATATACTCTACTGAAAGTGGAAAGTGAAAAGTAGTTTAGCATCATCTTGTAAAGTTTATACATATACCCTATTCTTCGCACTTCCATTCCTAGGTATATGCTCGAGAAACCTTCCCACCTGCGTATATAATCTCTAAATATACAGGTCCCTCCTCTCTCTTTTGCAGTTAAAAAAATAATAAATGGGATTGTTTGTACTGCAGAGTCCTAGTCTCATATGAACCCACTTCAACCAGGCTTTCAGCCTCACAACTCTGCCAGAAATGTCAAAAACACCAGAAATTGTCATGTTACTAAATCAGTCAGCTCTCAGTCTTCTTATTCTCATCATCTGTTGCTCATTCTCCCCTTCCAAAAGCACTTTCTTCACTTGGCTTCTCAGACGCCACAGTCATGATTTTTCTCCCACCTCACAGGCTACTTGACCCTAGCCTCTAGTCCTGGTTCTTCCTCTTCTGTCTCCCCAAGGGCATTCTTATCTGTCTACCCTCACCCTGTTAGAGATCTCTTACAGTCAAATAGCTTTAAATTTCTTTGTATCAATAGGACAAGCTATCGTATGCTGTACAAACAACCCCAAAATCTCAGCAGTTTATAGAAACAAAGATTTCTCTCTCATGCTTCTTATCCATTGTGAGTTGGCTGTATCTCTGCTCTATGTCATCATTCCAGGACCCAGGCTCGAAAGAGCATACCTTAGACATTGCCAGTCTCATGGCAGAGAGAAAAAAGAAAGTGCCTATTATGTAATGGCCCTTAGTTCTGCTTGGCAGGAACACCTGTCAATACTCACACTCAGAGGGCAAAGCAAACCACCACCCGGCTAACCTTCAGAGCAATGAGATAAGGATGTATAATCCTTCTGTAGGAAGGAGCATCAAGTCTTTTTGAACAATAATAGGATTTACCATACCACTGTATACTATCAGTGGCTATCTAATAGACCTCTCAAACTCAGTAAGTCCAAAACTGATCTCCTTATCCTCCCCTCATTTCATAGTTTTCCCCAAGTAGACTATTGAATTGATAGCAACTCCAGCCTTCCGAGTGCTCCAGCCCGAATCCTTGAAGTCATTCTTGATACAGTTCTCACACTCACTGCACATCCAGTCCGTCAGAAAGCCTGGTCAGCCCTACCTTCAAAATATATCAAGAATCTGACCATACCTCACCCCCTCTGCTTGTGTGAGTCACCATTACTTCTCATTGGATGACCATAATAGGCTCCTGTCTAGTCTCCCTGCTTCTAGCCTTGTCATCCCTCTTCCCCACTCCAAGATCATTCTTAACACAGCAAAGTAATGCTTTAAAAAATCAAACTAATGCTTATTAAACTACAGTAGTTAAAAATAAATAAAAATAAAAGCAGAACACATCATTCTCACTACTCAAAACCCCTCCAATGGCTGCCCATTTCTCTCAGAGTAAAAACCAGCATTTACAATGGTCTGCAGGGTCCTACTGCTCTGCCTCCTCCCCATTTTTTCATGTCACTTTCTACTAACCTCTCCTTCACTCCACAGTTGAACACGTGCCTCTTGTGTGTCCCCCTTAAGGTCTTTGCACTTGCGGTTCCCTCTGCCTGGAGTGTTCTTCCTAGATATCTGCATGGATGGCTCCCTCTCCTTCTTCAAGTATTTCCTCAAATATTACTTTCAGGTTATGCCTCTCCTGACTTCCATATTTCAAATTGCCATTTCCCTGGCATTTCCAGTTCACCTTACTCTGCTCCATATATTTTCTCACAGCACTTCTCATCTTCTTACCAACTACTTAATATATTCTTTATTGTTTGCCCCCACTAGAAAGCAAGACTCACAAGGACTTGGAATTTTGTAGCTTTTGCTCCTTGATGTCTCCCAAATATTAAAAGGAATGTCAGACAGTAGGCAATACATGAATACTTATTAAATGATAGAATGAACATGAGTGAAAAAAGCAAGATGCAGAAGAATCCATTCTGCATAATACTGTGTAAAGTTCCAAAACATGAAAAATGTTTAAAAATATTGTTCAGGCAGGCCTCCCTGGTGGTGCAAGGGATTAAGCACTGCACTATGAGGCAATCCACAGCCTCTGCAGCATGAGTTTGATCCCCGGCTGGCCAGAGAGAAACCCACATGGCAAAGCAGACCTCTCCTGTCTCACCTGCTGCTCCCCTCAGCAGTGTATTTCAGTCAGTCTGTCTGTTCTGTTCCCCAGTCTGTCTCTGGTGAATCCTCTCACCCCCTGCATCTCTGGCCTGTACCCCAGTTCTTGTATGCATATAAATAAAAAAAAATAGTATTGCTCATGTTTTATTAAGTTGGTTTGTGGGTGTCTATTTTATCCTATCTCTGAACTTACATATGCTTCCTAACATAAATATTCTCCTGTATGTGTTGGATATTTCACAATTACAAAATTTTCTTACTTTTTTTAAAGATTTATTTATTTATGCATACAAGAACTTGGATACAGGCCAGAGGTGTGTGGGGGGGTGTTGAGAGGATACACCAGAGACCGAGTGGGGAACAGAACAGGCAGATCAACTGAAATACACTGCTGATGGGAGCAGTGGGCGAGTCAGGAGAGGTCTGCTGCGCCATGTGGGTAGCTCCCTGGTGGGGGATCAAACTCGTGCTGCAGTGGCTGCAGATTGCTTCATAGGTTGCATCTTAACCCCTTGCACCACCAGGGAGGCCTTTTTTTTCAGGTTTTTTAAAACTGGAGCTAGCTATAGAGGAAGTCAAAGGGTCGTATTCCAAACAAAGGAAAGCAGAGTACAAATGCCCTGACATGGGAACAGTTATCTAGTTGGAGGACTTGATAGGAGACCACTGTGCCTAGAATACTATAAACAAAGGAGATGTGTGCAGGAACAAGATCTTGAAAGCCCTAAGTAAGGAGTTTGGAGTTGATTCCATGTGCAGTGGGAAGCCTGTGTAGAATTTTGAGTAGGTCAGAGACATGGTATGATTTATGTTTGTAGAAGTGTTTTTCGCTGTCGCTTTGACTGGCTCACATGCTAAAAGTGGGCATCCCAAAACAGGAAGGGAATCTGACAAATGGAAGCCCCTCTAGCCTTTCATTTGACTCAAGAATAAGTCATAAAAATAAAGGGGGCATGATGGTGCCTTTTACTGAAATGAGGAAAACTGAAGAGAGTGCAATACAAAAAGAGGAGTGTTGTAATTGAGTTCCAGGCTAAGATAGATGAGCATGGGTCACATCATGAAGACCCTTGTAAGTCTGGCAAAAGGAGACTATAGAGGCAGGAAGGGGCACAGAGCAGGATTTCTAATCAGCAGACTGGGGTAAAGGAGTAGACAGTCCTGGAGCCCTCAGTGGCTTTTGCAGGCTTTTATTGGGATTTACCAGGCACATGGCAAGCAGGGGTGCTGGGGGGATGGGAGGCTGGCAGGCCTCCCAGCCCCCAGCAAGTCTTCACTCTATCTGGGCTCTCTGTTGATCTCTGGTGCTTCTCTCTGCTTCTCATGTAGTTCTGCTTCTGCTTCTGCTTCTGCTTCTGCTTCTGCTTCTACTGCTTCTCTTCTGCTGGCGTCCCCATGATGCCGCCCTTAAAAGCCCAGTCTTAGCCCAGGTGAATTCCATCTACATATGCCCATACCCTACTACAGGTGCCCGCCATCAGGCATGAATTTGGGACCGCAGACCCATCATCTATCCTAATGGTGGGAGGACAGAAAAGCCTGATACTTTTACCTTACCCTACAGAGACTTTATCTCATAAACATTTGCTTTAGAGCTGCTTTTTGTGCTGTGGTCAGATTTTCTTTCAGAAAGATCACTCCGGTAGTCAGTGCAGATAAAGAACTAGAGAGGGTATCACTGGACTGAAGGAAGCCAGTGAGGCTCCCGGGAATACTGTCTAACATTGTGAGGCCTGAAATAGGGTGGTGACAGCAGAGATGGAGGACACAAATAGGAAATATATCAGGAAGTAAAATGAAATATAGCGGGGAGAAAGGAATGAGGTCGGAGTGTAGACAAGGATGACCATCAGCAGTGATTCATTCCACCTCACTGTTGTTCCAGATGTTCCGAGTAAACCAGTCACCAGATCCCAAGGAAGTAGCAGCCATTGAGGCTAGAAGAAATCGAGAAAAGGAGCGACAGACCCGATTCTTCAATGTGCGGGCTCGAGTCATAGGGGTGAGTGGGTAGCAGTGACTTTCTTGGGACAAGGGGCCACCTCATTCTTGTACTTGGGGAGACACATTGCCATGTCCTTTATGCCCTTCTCCCTGATTCAAGCAGGCCCTAGGCAGAAAGGGAGAAGGCACTGATCCCCCCCCAGGCCTAGGAAGGGCCTGGGAAAGGAATTTGGGTGCAGAGGAAGAAACTAAGGGAAGAGGAGCAGGTGACAAGTGATTCTTCTCTAGTCAGCTCTAGTCAGCTCCGTGCCAAGTGGCCTGGTTCTCAAGAGACAAGCAGCAAGGAGCCAAATGAAGTTTAAAGAACACTTGGTGTTACATATGCCTAAACGCTTTCTGAAAGGCTACATAAGAAACTGCTAACTGAGTGAGGGACAGAGATGGGAGGAACGCTAACTTTTCACTAAACTATATACCCTTTTGCACTATTTTGAGGTGTGTTAAATGAATTCTAATCAAAATAAAGAGACAGTGTTGATAGTTGAAGATAGATTGCTGAGTGGGTGGGTAGAGGGGGAATGTGCAGCATGGCATTCCGGAAAAGACCAAATCTGCTGTTTACTAGGTATATGGCTTTGAGTAAGTCACTTGTTTTCTCTGAAATCCAGATTCCTCCTCTATAAAGTGAGGCTAAATGAAGTGTCGAGGTGAGAATTAACATAGTGGCAGCTCTGGAAACTAGAGCACAGTGCTTGACAAGTAAGTAGGTAGCTAAGGGATGAGTGGTGTGATTGAGATCCAGCTGCATTTCCTCAGGACCTGCTCTGTACCAATCATTGGGTTGGGTATTAGGGATACAAAACCGACTAAGGCTAGTCTTTGCACTTAACAGGCTCACCCATGAGGTGGAGGAGATAACTGATAGAGGCAAACTTCAATATAATGTGGACAATGGGTCCTTGATTTTATGGGAGTAGTATCTGCCTGAAGGGGCAGGAAGCTGAGCTGGTTTTGAGGGGTGAATAGGAGTCTGGACAGAGGGGGAGGAAAAAGTGTTCCAGGTAGAGGGAACAGCTAGAGCAAGAGCTAATGTTCAAAATAGCCTACAATGTGCAGGGAACTGAGAGTGGGAGAGGAGATGAGGGTACCCAGATAAAGCTGAAGGAGGAGGCAGAGCCCTTCCAGGCCATTGATAGGCTTACAAACAATGCTGAGATGGGGGAATATTATTCCGTAGGTAATCTGAATTCAGTAGATAATTCAATAGGGGGATCTATAGGAAAATTTTGAAGCAGATAAATTCTAAGAAGTTTCTGTTAGAGCACTCAAGACCTTCTGCTAGACCTCTACCCTGACTTAGCTCATTTATTTGGGATCAGGTGGATGTCGAAGCCCTGAACAGCCAGGTGGAAGAACGAAAGCTTCGGGAGGCAGCAGAGCAGAGCAAGGAGGCAGCTTATGGTAAAAGCCCAAGGCTAGGGGCCAGTCATGGGTGTGGGGGGCGGGGAGTAAGAGCCTGCGTGGGCTTGAGGTAGGGCATTTCTACCTCAATGTGATGGCAAAAAACAGATAAACCTTAGGAGCACAGGCCATGCCAAGTGGGCTCTGTCCCTCCTATGGTGCCTTCTCCATGTTCTCCCTGCCCACCACCCCCAGCGACCAGCCAAATGCAATATGATCTGGTAGCCCAGATGCTAGAGAAAGAACAGGCAGAAAGGACACGTCGGCTGGCAAAGAAAGTCCAGGAGTTTCGGGAGCAGAAACAGCAGCTTAAGAACAAGCATGAATTTGACTTTTGGGATCCAGATCAAGTCTGGAATGAGTTTCTAACTCATCAAGGCGACAGTGATAACCACTATGGGCTGGACAAGGCTACATGCCAGAGAAAGGAGCAGGAGCAGCTTAGGTACAGCCTGGACAAACAGGTGCAGGAGCAACAGCAAGCCAGGACTGATGAAAAGTGTGCAGGTAAGCAATTGGGCCCTCTAGGCACAGAGATCTGAGGCTTTCCAGGGAGCTGTCCTGAACCGGATACAGGACCCAGGAGACCAGACTGTATGGGGTGGTCCAATTAGCTGGATGTTGAAAGGTTATACTGAGTAGACCCCAACCTCCCTAATCTCCTTCAGTAACTGACTGTGCCCACTGGCCCCAATCAGCCAGCTTTTCATTACCTGGAGGCAGCTCTGCCACTTAGTAACTGGTTTGGGCAAATGAATTTTCCTCCCTGTGCTTCAGTTTCCTCATCTTTAAAATGACGATAAGAAACCATACCACATAGAACTCACATGAGAATTGAACAGGATGCTGTATGTAGGTGCCTTTGTGCTCAATAACCAGTAGCTACTATTAGCAGATATTATCTGTGATCACGTCCTTCTCTCACATTAGAATAAGCACTTCCTGGGCAAAGACCATGTCTTATCAACCCACACTGCTAACCTTTCCAATTACCCCTGTTGTAGCACTCTGTTCTGTTATACCACTTCCCATAGATGTAACTAATTGTGAAAATATTTGTGGAATGTATGTATTCTCTCCAAAATGTCAACTCACTGAAGATGAAACACTTCACTCATTTCCATCCCTGTATCCCAGTTGCCCAGAACAGTGTTCTCCAGTGTCAGGTGCTCAACAAGTCATTGTTGAAAGAACTAAAAACCAAAATAAATAAGACAAGTGCCCAACAGGAGCCCACAGAACCAGACCTTCCAGAAAATCAGTTCAGAGAAGAGGAAAATATACATACAGTAAATGTTTATGCTTTAACACTGTTTTGTTTTTTTTTTAAAGATTGATTTATTTATGCATACAAGAATGGAGGTATAGGCCAGAGGTGTGGGGGGCTTGGGGGATGAGAGGATTCACCAGAGACAGAGTGGGGACCAGAACAGGCAGACTGACTGAAATACACTGCTGAGGGGAGCAGCAGGCAAGTCAGGAGAGGTCTGCTGCTATGCTTTAACACTGTTATGTACCATCGTAGGACATGGAGGGAACATCAATATCGGAGTGGTTAATTCTTACAAGGAAAAGAATATGACACAGATCAGCTGTCAGGAACCAATTTTAGAAAGTTGGGTATGATTTTGCCAGGGTGGAAGAGGGAGACAGAAAAAAAGGAACCACTCTAGATAGAGGGGGCAGCAAGAAGAGCCCCAGGACTTTGAATGGTCCAGGTGTTTCGGATACACAAATACTTTAGTGTCACTGCACCCCAGGGTTGGTAGAAAAGAAAATGGTTAAAAATCTTCTATTCCAAACTAAGATACTATCCCTTTATCATGTAGGATAACCACTGTAAAGGTTGGTTTTTGTTTTTGTGCGTAACAGAACTGGGGTGTAGGCCAGAGGTGCGGGGAGGCAGGGGTGAGAGGATTCACCAGTGGGGAGCAGAACAAGTGGATTTACTGAAATACACCATTAGGGGGAGCAGCGAGCCAGAAAGGAGAGGTCTGCTGCACTATATGCGGGTTAGCTCTCTGGCCTGGGAGTCTGGGTGATAGCACATTGAGACTTAACCCTAGACCATTAAGGAGGCACTACTTCTCAGCTACTTGGGCCCCGCTGCTGTTCCTCAAGCATTCCATGCTCTCTCAGGAGAGAGACATGCTCTTTCCTGGCTCAGGGCCTTTGCACTAGCTATTATACCCTCTACCTGGATAGCTCATCAGACATTTGTATTGCTCATTCCCTTGTCTTCAAATCTGTATTCAAACATTACCTTAGTAAGGTTTTCCTAACTTAAAAGTGCAACTGTTATGTTCCCCTCCAAGCTCCCATATCCCCTTTTATGCTTTTTTTCTCCTTAGCAATTATGTTAACCACCTTATATATTTCACTGTTTTATCTTTTCTCTCTGTCCCCATTAGCGTGAATGCCATGTGAGCAAGAATTTTTGTTTGTACACTGTGCCACACACAAAATAGCTGCCTTAACATTTGCTGAATATTGAAATTGGTCTTGTCATTCTTCTGTTTTAAAACCTTTAAGGGGGCTTCCCCTGGTAGCGCAGGCTGTTGAGCGCTGCGCTGTGAAGCTGTCCACAGCCTCTGCAGTGCAGGTTCGATCCCGGCCAGCCGGTGAGGGTCCCACATGGGGAAGCAGACCTCTCCTGTCTTGCACGCTGCTCCCCTCAGCAGTGTATTTCATCAGTCTGCCTGTTCTGTTCCCTGCTTTGTCTCTGGTGAATCCTCTCACCCTTCCGTTCATCTGGCCTGTACCCGGATTCTTGTATGAATAAATAAATCAATCTTTGGAAAAAAAAAAAAAACTTTAAGGGCCACCCTGGTGGCCTTAACCCTGGTGGGTTAAATCTCAATGCTATCACCACTACAGCCTGAGTTCAATCCCCTGCCAGGGAGCTGACCCATATGGCACAGCAGACCTTTCCTGTCTCGCCCGCTGCTCCCCTTACCAGTGTTTTTCATTAAATCTGCCTGTTCTACTCTCCACTCTTGTCTCCGGTGAATCCTCTCACCCCCCTTCCCCCCATACTTCTGGCCTACACCCCAGTTCTTCTACGCAAAAATTAAAAAAGTAGCTGAAGTAGTAGAGTGAGAAGAGTGGTAGGAAGTAAAGTCAGAAAGGTGACAGAGGCCAGTTGGGGTAGGCCTTATTGGCCATGGTGAGGACTTCAGCTTTTACTAAATGAGGTAGGAGCCATGGGAAGGTTTTGAGCATTGGAGTCATATGATTTGTATTTTAAACAGATAACTCTGACAACCATTGCAGAGGTTGTATTAGAGGGGGAAGGAAGACTAGAGGCAAGCAGATTAGAAAACTATTGCATCCATACATAGGTGGTTGATAGATAACCATGTAGCTAGATGTCCCTGAAATTCCTGGGTCAATATGGGCTGGAGGGAGAGATCTGGAAGGGAGGGGGTTTTGTGCATATAAATAGAATACTAAGCCTGAACTCTGGAAAAAGGGTAAGAAAATGGTGTACTCTGTAAGGACAACGACCAAAGCTGTCTTATTAACCACTACAACCCCAGTGACACAGTGCCCGGCACATCATAGATGCTCAGTACATTTATCTTGAGTGAATGACTGAGTAGATGAAAAGGAACTAATAATAAAGATTGAACGGGGATCAGTGAAATAGGACAAAGAGATGCATAAAATAATAACAGTGGCACTAACCTTTACTGTGTACCATTACTATAATTTCTACCAGGCATTAACTCATTTAATGCCTCACAGCAACCCTATGAGGCAAGTATTAGTATCATTCTCATTTTCAGCATAGGAAACTGAACAGGGCCTCCCCAGTGGCGCAGCAGGTTGAGCGCAGCACTGTGAAGCTGTTCCGCAGCCTCTGCAGCGCTGGTTCAATTCCCGGCTAGCCAGGGAGACACCCACATGGCGTGGCAGACCTCTTCTGCTCCCTGCTCTGTCTCTGGTGAATTCTCTCACCCTCCTGCGCCTCCGGCCTGTACCCCAGTGCTTGTATAAATAAATAAACAAATCTTTTTTTTTTTTTAAAAAAAAAAAAAAGGAAACTGAACAGAGATGTTAAAACTTGCCCAGTCACAGAGCTGGTGGGTGATGGAGGTAGGAGTGAACTCAAGCAGGCTGGCTCCAGCACACATGCTCTTGAACATTATCCCATACTTGCCTCCTCTCAGTCACCATAAAAAAGTTGGGACTCAAAGGCCGAGAGTGTCATAATGTCAAATGCCTTGGAAAAGTTCAGCTAGGAACAGAAACTTGTCTATTGGGCTTGGAAATTTGGAGTATGTGGTGATTTTTTTTTAAAGATTTATTTATGCATACAAGAACTTGGGTCCAGGCCAGAGGTGCAGGGGGTGAGTGAATTCACCAGAGACAGAGTGGGGAGCGTAACAGGCAGATTTGCTGAGATACACTGCTGAGGGGAGTAGAGGGCGAGATAGGAGAGGTCTGCTGCACCATGTGGGTTAGCTCCCTGGCCGGGGATTGAACTCATGTTGCAGCGGCTGGCGATAGCTTGAGAGTGATGAGACTTTAATCCCTGTGCTACCAGGGAGGCCCAAGTTGGTGAATTTTTTTTTAAAGATTTATTTTTATTTTTACAAGAACTGGGGTACAAGCCAGAGGCGTGGGAGGGTAAGAGGATTAACCAGAGACAGAGTGGGGAGCAGAACAGGCAGACTAACCGAAGACACTACTGAAGGTAGCAGTGGGCAAGGCAGGAGAGGTCCGCCGCACTATGTGGGTGGCTCCCTGGCCGGCTGGGAATCAAACCCGCTGCAGAGGCTACAGACAGCCTCACCACGCTGTGCTCAACCCACTGCGCCATCGGGAAGGCCCCACCTATTTGGTGAATTTTGATATACCAGCTGCAATGGCACTGTGGGCTAGCTGCCCAATGGCAGCAGGCAGGTGTACTACGAGGCATAGTAAAGCTACAGGGACAGCAGAATGCTGAGGAAATCTGAGTAGTTTAATGGAAGGAGCATGGGCTGATCCTTCGACAGACCTATATTCAGATCCCAACCTATTATTATACCTTGCCTACTGTGTGACCTTGGGCATTTTACCTCTTTTTGGGAACTCTGTGTCCCATGTGAAAAGTAGGATTTAGCCTTACCTCTCTGGGTTGCTGTGAAGAGTGAAATGAGAGGATGGGGACACAGAGGTCCCAAGGGGAGGTAAAATGCCCAAAGTCACACAGTGGGCAAAGTATAATAGTTTGGGATCGGAATGTAGGTCTGTCAAAGGATTGGGCCTCCCTGGTGGTGCAAGGGGTTAAGCACAGCACTATGAAGCTACCCGCAGACTCTGCAGCATGAGTTCAGTCCTGGCTGGCCAGAGAGCTAAGCCACATGGCGCAGCAGACCTCTCCTGTCTCGCCTGCTATCCCCCTCAGCAGTGTATTTCAGTCAGTCTGCCTGTTTTGTTCCCTGCTCTGTCTCTGGTGAATCCTCTCCCTCCCCCCACCCCGCACCTCTGGCCTGAACCCCAGTTCTTGTACACATAAATAAATCTTAAAAATAAATTAATAAAATATGGGTACAATTAGGCCCTGTAGAGTATGTAAATCATCCAAATGCCCTTAACCAGCTAGTTCTGTGGCAGCCCCTGTAACCTACAGACCCATACAGGAGGTGGTGAGGAAGAGGGTGGGGGAGGTGGGGGGAGAAGTAGAGGAAAATTCCTGTTGTTTCTGTGTATACAGATGGATTTTAGCTGAGCCAATCCACAAATACTCTTGTATGCCTAAAGAAAAAAAAAATTTTAATTTAAAAAACCAAGCCTTCAGCATATTCGGGTCCCATTTTCCCTGTCCCCCTCCCAGGCTGTGCTCCCTCAGGTATTCCCTCCCCTGTGTTTCCAACACTTACCCTTCCACTGGCCCCTTTGGTAAAGGCTGTAAACATGCTTATATGCTAACCTATGTGAAAAAAAAAAGCCTCCTTTCACACTGATTCCACTAGATACTGTGAGCTAGCCATTTTCCTTTATAGTCACACTCTTTGAAAAATCTACCTCCAGTGCTGTCTTTTCTTCTTTACTTTCCAGTCACACTGCAACCCCAAGATCTCATTTCTCCCCCACACAACATTGATACTACTCATACCAAAAATCACCAGTGCCCTTTGTATTACACACAGGTTCTGTTTTATCTTTCCTCCTTGACTGATCCCAATCCTTCCTTGGCTGCCATTACAACACATTTTGCTTGTAGCTCTCTGAGCATTCCTTCTTCGTCTCCCTCCCTTCTTGAGACTTTGTCCCTAGCACTCTGCTCTCCCTACCCTGTATACTTGGTTGTTCCCAGCCCTCACGTTGGAACCAGCTACCATGCCACTATCTCTGTGCCCTCTGTCTGCAGAGTCACATATCCAGATGCCTGCTGACCACCTCCAACTTGGTTTCTGGAAACAATTCATGGGTACTCCCTATCCTGCTCTTCATTCTGTATCTTCCACTTCTGCACACTATGCACCCAGTCATCCAAGCCAGGACCCTGGGAAGTGTCCCTGCATCTTCCTTCTCTCAATCCATCAAGTACTGATGATGTAACCTCCTATGTATCCCCTCCATCTTTTCCATAATGCCCTGGGTTGAGTCCTTCCAACTGGCCTACTGCAATAGTTTCTAAGGTGGCTTCCTTACATGCAATTGCCTGGCTGCCTGCCCTCCATGGTGGCCACCATAAGGAGGTTTATAAAATGCAAATCTAACCATATCACTGCTTTGCTTCAAATCCTTCAATGTTCCCCACAACCTTAGGGTCAAGTTTCTGGCCTAGTCTGGCCCCCACAAAATTCTGTAGCCACTTGCGTTTTATGCTCCAGCAAGAACAGATTACTTATAATTTAAGATACAGGCCATGCTGTTTCTTGATTTCCTTCATACATTTGACAAATATTTAACACTATGTACAGTCTCAGACCTAGGTGCTGAATCACGGTAGTGAATGAAACTGACAAAAATCCCAGTCCTCACAAAGGTTACCTTGTAGTAAGTGGAAACAGAGAAAATATTTAAGTAAAATGTATACTGGATGGTGACAAATGCTAGGGAGAAAAATCAGGGCAAAGGGATAAAATGCTGGGGGCAGGCAGATTGCAATTTTAAGTAGGACAGACAGGAATGGTTACATAGGCAGTAACATTTGAGCAAAGACCTGAGGGCAGCAAGAGAGGTGAGCCAAGTATAACATCTATTACAAATTCTCTGTTCCTGGATGTTCTAGGAACAGCAAGGAAACCAGTGTGACTGGATTGTTAATATACCTTTGTTTATGCTGTGTCCTCAGCCTGGAATGCCCTTTGCTCTTTCTGTCTATATACATCAGGTAATTCCAGGATCACCTTGTCCTGTAAGCCTTCTCACTTACTATCTAAAGCTCTTATAACGCCCTCTACATATCCCTACCATTGCTTTTACCACACTGTGGTATTATCTATGTTGGATCTGCCTCACCCACTAGACAGAGAGCTCTCTGAGGACAGAATCTGATTATGTGGTATCTTCAGAAACCAACACATGGCCCTTAGACTGTGGCTCAGAGAGATGAAATGCTTTTACCCAAGGTCACACACCTCAGAAGCAGCAGAGCAGTCACTGGCATCCAGGTCTATTGAAGGCATCTTTCAGTTCAGTACATGACAAACACTTGTTGCCACTTTGGCTATCCCTACTTCGATAAAGTAGCTCCTTCTACATCCCTACAATTAGGACATTAACACCTTCCCAAACATACATACATACACACACCACACACACACACATACACAGTTTAATAACAAATGGCTGAATGCGTGAATCAGGAAAGGAGCAGGCCTGTAAAGTGCCCTGCTCCTACTTCTCTATGTAGATATGCTCAGTGAACAGCTGCGCCTAGCCATGGACATACGGGCCACCCAGCTCGCCAAGCTGGAGGAGTCCTGTCGCGTGGCCATGATGTCTGCCATGGCCAATGCCAACAAAGCCCAGGTACAGCTTGAGCTATCCCCATTTGTGCACTGGGCTCTCCCCATTCCCTTGAACAAAGTCCTGGGGGAACCTTAGCCACATCTTGAATCAACGCCAAACCCCTCACCCACCTGAGAACTTCCCTGATTCTCTAAGGACTTCCAGAAGGCAGGTAAGTTCCCTGCCCATTCCACCCTTGCCCCCATTTCAGGTCATTCGAAGGCCATGCCTTATCTATTCCTTCTTTCCCTGATGGGAGAGATTAGGGCCATATCACCCCCTCCCCTATGACTGAGAGTTCCCTGAGGTTGGGCACTCAAATGCTCATATTTGGGGGCCCCACCAGGCAGCTGAGGTGGCTGAGCGACAGCGCCATGAACATCTGCACCAACAAGAGGCCAACCTCACAGAAATCCAGAACCAGATCAATAGTGACCTACTGACTGAGAACCCCCAGGCTGCTCAACACGCTATGGTTCCCCATAGGGTACTGCCCTATTGCTGGAAAGGCATGACTCCAGAACAGCGAGCTGCCATCAGCAAAGATCAGGAGGTGCAACGTCGTGAAAAGGAGGTACAACACCAGGCAGAACAAGCACTGGATGTGGAATGGGAAAACCAGGCCATATGCTCAGCCCAAGCAGCAATGGAGCTAGAAGAACAGGAAAGGGAGCTGTGTGCTGAATTTCGTAGGGGCCTGGGCTCCTTCAACCAGCAGCTGGCTAAAGAACAAAAAGCACAGTGAGTTCTAGGGGTTGGCAGTAGGGCAACCTTGGCAATGCCAAGGGAGAGTGCTAGGATGGTGAGGGTCAGGGACGGGGGAAAGTCCATCAGCTGAGGCCTCGGGACTTCTTTTACAGGCAGAATTATCTGAATTCAATAATCTACACCAATCGGCCTACAGCCCAATATTTTCTACAGTTCAACACCAGCAGCCGCTGAGCTCAGGATGGTCATTTCTCTCTTCTCCCCCATCAGGCTCACAAAGGGCTAGAAGTCAAGAGAAGAAAATGATGCTACATAACCCCCTTCCCCAATCCATTCCCAGTGGGAGAGAGCTAAGCCAGTATCCCTACCTTTGACCCAAGTTAATAAAGTTATTCACTAAAATCAAGGCCATGCATTGTAATAGAACACAAAAGGTGTAAGGTACTGCCTTTCCTACCCCATTCCTGGGTTCTGAGCAACCCTAACAAAGTCTTGCACCTTTAACCTTTCTTCCCCATGCCAGTTTTCCCAGCACACAGCACTGCGCACTCCCTGTGAGAAGTAGAAACTTTATTTAGGCACAGAGGGTAACTGATGGGAGAGTTACAAAATGGCTATACTGTGCATCCTCCCAAGCTGGTAGTAGCCCAGTGAAAGGAGGGGCAGAGGAATAGGTTTGCTCTATTCCCCACCCCCTTCAAGGCTGCATGCGGATGGCCCCATCCAGCCGGATGACCTCTCCATTGATGAATGGGTTTTCAATGATGGCCTGTACCAGATGAGCATACTCGGCAGGGTCACCCAGTCGGCTGGGGAAGGGCACCTGGCTGGCCAGGAAGTTTCGCACTTTCTCTGGGAGGCTGGTCAGCAGTGGGGTGCCAAACAGGCCTAGATAAGACAGCCAGAGTCAGAGGTCCACCCTTGCCTTCATATTTACCCAATCCCTCCTCACCTTAGCCCTAATTGTAGTGCTTCGCCATGCAAGGTTGGTGCTGCTTAGGTGGTAAATTTCCCTCGATTGCCCACGGATCCCATCCAATCCAGGTGTGGCATGGAGATGTGTCTACCTGGAGCAATGGTCATCACCCGGATGCCCATGGGAGCCAGATCTCGAGCAATGGGCAGTGTCATGCCTACTATGCCCCCCTTGGAAGCAGAATAGGCAGCTTGTCCAACCTGGAGAAGGAGTGGAGGTCATAGGTGGAAGGGTGTCAACAAGTCACTGAGAAGCACAAGCCTCATCCCTGCCCACACACCTGGCCCTCGAAGGCAGCCACACTGGCAGTGTTGATGATGACCCCACGTTGGCCTCCTTGGTCTGGCTCATTCTGGCCCATCTCACCAGCCACCAGACGAATGACATTGAAGGTGCCTATGAGATTCACCTGGAGGACCAGTAGAAACAAAGTGTAGGAGCTTGAGGCAGAGGTAGCCTTTTGTCACCTAAAACCTTTGGGGTCACCCATAGCAAGAAACCTTTTACTCCACCCCTAGAGAACCTCAGAGGCTTTACATTGAGAACTCGCTGGAAGTCCTCCAAGGTATGGGCCTGGCTCCTCTTTGAGTTGTATGTCTTGATAGCAACTGCAATGCCTGCACAGTTGACTGCCACATCCACATGACCAAACTTTTCTTTTGCTAGAGTCAGGGCTGCTTGCACGTCCTTCTCTGAGGTCACCTTCAAAGGGAGAAGTGGAGAAGGTATTTATTTACCAGCACACACACACACACACACCCCACTAAACTTAGGGGAAGGGATGGCTAGTCTTTGCGTGACAACAGAATAGTGCAAGCAAGGGAGAAGCCAAGAGAACGAAAACTCAAGAGTGGGGCAAGGGTGAAAATATTAGGCAAGACAAGCATGTTTCAAAATATTTTTCAAATCTATACCTTCTTGATAAATTCACATATCCCTGGAGATTCTCTGATGTGGAGAACAACACTGTTTTAAAAATCATTGCTATGAAGATAAACTAGCTTTTTTTTTTTCATTTTTTTATTTTAACATTTATCATTTTTTACATTTTTTTAGACAATATTTGCTTCCCCCACCCTCAGATTGGTCCCCATAGAATCTCCTTCCCCAAGGCACCATCACCACAGTCCCCTGTGCACTAGCTTTTTTGTTTTTTTTTACGCAAACCTACTAAGATGATTTCATCATGCTTTATTTTCTGAATCCGTTTCATTAAGTTTTTTGACTTTATAAAATCACAGGGCACAAGATGCATTTTCAAGCCATCACATACCATTTCCATGACATTCTGATATGTCCAATCCTATCCCCCTCAGTCCCGCTTCAAAGATTTTTCGTTCCCAGTGCTTGACGGCTCCAGCCCAAAGGGACAAGGACATTGATCCACCGCCCGCCACACAGACGGTGCGGCACCGTCAAGAGAAGGGCCCTCTGGGTTCCCAGGCCGGTGTCTGTGATCTCTCCCGCACACTGGCAGAGGAGAGGTGACCCCACTTACGTCGGTTGGGGCGAAAGCGCAGCTTTTCCCTAACTTCTTGGCCTGGGCCGTCCCATCCGAGTTGGGCAGGTCCAGAAGTACAGCACTGGCCCCCTGCCCTACAAGTCGCTCTGCGGTGGCCAGACCAAGGCCCGAGGCTCCTCCGGTTATTACTGCGACCAGGCCCTAAGAAGAAAGGCACGATCGGGCTACACTGCAGACCCCCACCTTACACCAGCCCCTTCTCCAGCTTCTTCGAGGGAGGCTCCTGGTCACTCCAGCAGTGTGGCCCAGGTGTGCCTTCTCTCCTTACCGCTGAGTGTCTAATGTACAGGCAGCCCGTCCTATTACCCCACATACATGTGCGGCGGAGAGTTGACCTTCACCTCCAGAGCCCAAACACCGCAATACCACGCCTTAATAAGGCTTGACCCTATCTCCCTGCACCAATCTCTTCCCCCCACCTCCGGGTTCCATGGCCGAGCCGTTCAAAGCCGGCACACGGGGGCCGGCAGCAGAGGCAAAGACCCGATAGATTACCTTCACGCTCCGACACGCGGCAGCCATCTTTCCTGGGTCTGGCAGAACTTTCTGGCGCTCACTGATTGGCGGGGGCGGGGCCAGGGGCGGGCCAGCAGGAGGCGGGGCGCTGCGCGCGACATCCGGCCCGGGCCAGCCCTTTGCTTTTCCAACTTGAGAGGGCAGCCCGCCAGGCCTGGCAAGATGTTCCCAGAGTTATTTCACCAGAGGATAGAAACCAGTGGCCTATGAGAGTTATTTTTGTGGTGTTTTGCCAGTTTTTTTTTTAAGATTTATTTATCTATGCATACAAGATCTAGGGTGTAGGCCAGAGATGGGGGGGGGGGGTCGCTGAGAGGCTTCACCAGAGACAGAGTGGGGAGCAGAACAGGCAGACTGAGTGAAATACACTGCTGAGGGGAGCAGTGGGGGAGACAGGAGAGGTCTGCTGGGCCATGTGGTTTGCTCCCTGGCTGTGGATGGAACTCGTGCTGCAGTGGCTTCGGATAGCTTCATAGTGCTGACGCTTAACCCCTTCCACTACCAGGGAGTCCTTGACAGTTTGTTCTTTATATCTCACAAAGGAGTAGAGCCCTGTCTCACTTTCGAACTTATTTCTCTTAGCACCGTCACCCCAAGATCCATCCATTTTTGTCCCCAAAACACTATATTTCATCTTTTTAAATAGCTGAGTAGTATGGGCCTCCCTGGTGGCGTAAGGGGTTAAGACGCAACCTATGGAGCTGTCCGCAGCCGCTGTAGCACAAACTCGATCCATGGCCAGGGAGATACCCACATGACGCAGCAGACCTCTCCTGTCTTGCCCGCTGCACCCCTCAGCAGTGTACTTCAGTCCATCTGCCTGTTCTGTTCCCCGCTCTGTCTCTGGTGAATCCTCTCACACCCCCTCCCCCCACCACCACCCCTGGCCTGTATCCCAGCTCTTGTGTGCATAAATAAATCTTTTTTTAAAAAATGAATAGCTGAGTAGTATTCCACTGAGTATATATCCACAATTTCTATAAGCAGTCACCTGTCCATGGGCTTTTAGATTGGCTCCATGTCTTGAAAAATATGCCGGTTAGCAGAGTGGAGGGGGAAGAGAGGAGGGGATGGAGAGGGTAATATGATAGAGTAGAGCCACTGGAGCTTTGGTGGAGGGTGAATGGATCCTGCACAAAACTATATAGTTATGTAAACGAAGGGCAACCAAAAAATGGGGGGGGGGGAGAAAGAAACCAATAGCAGCAGCACAATACCACCACACCCACCTCCTTACTTTCTAAACTACCTTTGGGCAAGCATCACCTCTAGGGGGTTACGGGAGGGCAGGAAATTGAATGTGTGTGTCCCTCATGTGTGTGTCCCTCACCCCTCAGAGAAAATCTTCATTCAAGTATAAACTTATCTAAGAGACACCTATACACCAAGCCCTATGCAGGGCTCTGGGGATACCCTGAGGAATAATAAAAAAATTATGCTTTCTAGGAAGACACAATGCATTTGGAAAAAGAGATAATTACAGTACAGATACAGAAAAAGGAAGAGACAGAAAAACAGATACTGGAACAGACATGGCTATCCAAAGATGGAGAGTCTGAGAGCCACACAGAGAGAAATATGTTGAGGCAGAGAGAGGAACAGAGACAGCAGACAGGATCACAGAGCTATGGTTGTAGAGATCTACTAAGAGACAGAGATGTTGGGGGTCAGATATTCTGAGACATACTTGCTGAGAGAAGCACAACGCCAACTTGATGATTCCTTCATCTGCTCATCGCCGGGGTCCTCCCCCTCCTTTATACTTAAACCACCCTATTTAGGCCACATTATTAACCTTGTCATGCCCTGTAGTGACCTCATCACCCTCCCACCCCTCTTATATGGAGATCTTGGGAGAAGGAACTGGGCACGCTCAGCCTGCTGTGGACTCTGCCTGCCTGCGGGGAAGGGGCTTTCTGGCCGGGGCTGGCCAGGTACCCCCATAGAGAGGTGTGTGAGTGTTAGTGCTGTCTAACATACCACCATCTGTCACTCTGACCATGTTCTTCCAGTCTCCGTCCCTCTACCACTTCTTTTATCTCCTTGATGCCAGTTGTTCTTCTGACCATTCCATTTTCTTCCAGTCTCTTCCTACTTTTCTTCTAGTCAGTGTAGATCATCTCTCATTCCCCTTCTCTCTTTATTCACTCTCCCCAGCACCTTCAACCCATTTGCTGCTTTGACAGTCTGCCAATTCAACTCCTTGACTTTTCTTTTTTTCTTTTTTTAAAGATTTATTTATTTGTACAAGAACTGGGGTACAGGTCAGAGGCATGGGAGGGTGAGAGAATTCACCAGAGAGAGGAGGAACAGAAGAGGCAGATGGACCGAAAACATTGCTGAGGGGAGCAGCAGGCAGGACAGGAGTGGTCTGCCACACCATGTTGGTTTCTCCCTGGCTGGCCAGGAATTGAACCCGCACTGCAGAGGCTGCGGACAGCTTCACAGCGTAGCGCTCAACCCGCTGCACCACCGGGGAGGCCCTTTTCTTTTTTTTAAAAAAAAGATTTATTTATTTATGCATACAAGAGCTGGGGTGTAGGCCAAAGATGCAGGGGAAAGGGGTGAGAGGATTCACCAGACACAGAGTGGGGAGCAGAACAGATAGATTGACTGAAATACACTGCTGAGGGGAGCAGCAGGTGAGACAGGAGAGGTCTGCTGCACCATGTGAGTAGCTCCCTGACTGGGGATCGAACTCATGCTGCAGTGGCTGCCAATGGCTGCCAATGGCTTCATAGTGCTGAAACAACCCCTTGCGCCACCAGGGAGGCCCAACTCTTTGACTTTTTGGCACAGACTCTGAAGCCAAAAGAACTGGGTTTGAATCTCAGTTCCATCATGTACTAACTAAATCACGCTGGGCAAATTACTTAATTGTTGGTACCTCAGTTTCCTATGAGGAAACCTGTAGGGGTGTTAGGAATAAATGAGTTAACAACTGTATAAGGGGGGGAAGGGTACTTAGAACAATGCCTGACCTTTATTTTTTTTTAAAGATTTACTTATTTTTTTATACAAGAGCTGGGGTACAGGCCAGAGGCGAGGGCGGGTGAGAGGATTCACCAGAGGCAGAGCGGGGAGCAGAACAGGCAGACGACAGAAATACACTGCTGAGGGGAGCAGCTGGCTAGACAGGAGAGGTCTGCTGCGCCATGTGGGATTCTTGCCGGCAGGTGGGGAAGCGAACCCGCACTACAGAGGCTGCAGACAGCTTCACAGCGTGGTGGCACTCAACCCGCTGCACCACCGGGGAGACCGATGCCTGGCCCTTAGCAAGAGCTATATAAATGTTAGCTACTGTCACTCTTCAGAACATTGTTGTTGTTTTTTTAATTAATTAATATATATTTAAATCATTGTTCATTTTAAAACAATGTTTGTTTTCTTTTCTCAGGTATAGTCCCCATATAATTTCCACCACCAGTTAACCCATACACCATCATCATAGTGTTCCTCCCTCCCTCCTTCCAATCCTTCTCCCTCCTCCTCCCCTGCAGGATGTCTCTGGTTTATAATTGTTTGTTTTGTATTGTTGTGCTTTGTATTGTTATTATTTCTCCCCCCATGCCTTATTTGGTTCCCCTATATTCCTCCTATAAGTGAAACCATCTGATATTTTTCTTTTTCCTTCTGACTTATTTCACTGAGCATAATTCCTTCTAGCTCCATTCATGTTGCTATGAATGGCATGAGTTTATCTTTTTTGATTGCTGAATAATATTCCATTGTGTATATAAACCACATCTTCTTGATCCAGTCATCTATTTTTGGGCATTTGGTTTCTTTCCATATCTTACTTGTAAACAGTGCTGCAATAAACATAGGAATGCAGGTATCCTTTTGAATTAATGTTTTTGTATTCTTTGGGTAGATCCCTAGGAATGGAATTCCTGGGTCATGTGGTAGCTCCATTTTTAGTAGTCTGAGAAACCTCCATACAGCTTTCCATAGTGGTTAGACCAGTTTGCACTCTCACCAGTAGTTTAGGAGAGTTCTTTTTCACCGTATTCTTGCCAGCATTTGTTGTTGCTCGTTTTTTTTTAATATGTGCCATTCTTACTGGTGTAAGGTGGTATCTCTTTGTGGTTTTGATTTGCATTTCCCTGATGATTTTAAGGAATGTTGAACATTTTTTCATATGCCTGTTGGCTATTTGCATTTCTTCTTTGGAGAGGTATCTTTTAAGTTCCTCTGCCCATTTCTTTTTTTTTAATTAATTAATTTATTTATACAAGCACTGGGTACAGTCAGAAGCGTGGGAGGGTGAGAGAATTCACCAGAGCCAGAGGGGAGAGCAGAGCAGGCAGAAGGACCGAAGTACACTGCTGAGGGGAGCAGCGGGCGGCAGGAGAGGTCTGTGAGCCATGTGGGACCCTCGCTGGTGGCTGGGGATTGAACCGGTGCTGCAAAGGCTGCGGGCAGCTTCGCAGCCCAGCGCTCAACCACCGCACCACCAGTGGAGGTCCCCTTTGCCCATTTCTTGACTGGATTGTTTACTTTGCTTTTGTTGAGTCATGTGAGTTCTTTGTATATCTTTGTGATCTGTCCCTTATCAGTTGTATGGAGTCCAAAGATGTTTTTCCGGATCAGTAGCATGTCTCTTTGCTTTGATTAATGTCTCTTCTGCTGTACAGAAGCTTTTAAGTTTGATGTTATCCCAGGTTTATCTTTTCCTTGACTTTCTTTGTTTTAGGGCATGAGTCTTTAAAGATGCAGAACAGTATTTCTTAGACTTTTTTATGCTGTGAGACCTTTGGCAGTCTGGTGAAGTCTAAGGAAATCTTCCAGAATAATACATGTATAAAAATTGGGATTACAGGGCCTCCCTGGTGGTGCAAGGGGTTAAGCACAGCACTGTGAAGCTAACCACAGCCACTGCGGCACAAGTTTAATCCCTGGCCAGCCAGGGAGCTGCCCACATGGCGCAGTGGACCTCTCTTGTCTCACCGGCTGCTCCCCTCAACAGTGTATTTCAGTCAGTCTACCTGTTCTGTTTCCCACTCTATCTCTGGTGAGTCCTCTCACTCCCCACACCTCTGGA